TAAAATACATAGGAACTTTTATGAAAATTCCCCTTCAACCCCCCTCTGTATGTTCCCCCATCACACACACATTGCCGGTCTCCATAGATGTCCACTGCCATTGTCTGGGCTGCATTCTTCTAGCCCCCTTTCTATGAAAATCTTAATAGCTTTTAATAAGAATTAGCTTATGCATTAGTGTGTGAGTGTGAGAGAGACCAAATGGATGGAGTCATTCAGTGTATATTGTTCTACAATATAATATATATATGTATGTATATTCAATATAATATATTTAATATATACATGTATAATAATATATCTCCTCATCCTTAGCAATAGACATTTGGATGGTTTCTAGTGTTTTGCTATTACAAATAGGGAAGCAGTAAATACTCTTGTGCATACATCTTTGTGTACATGAGCAAGTAATGTGTAGATAGATTTCTAGAAATGAAATTGCTAAATTAAAGGATATAAACACTCAAATTTTTACTTATTTATTTTTATTTGCCAGAGAGAGAGAGAGCAAGCAAGCACAAGCAGGGGGCAGGGGAAGCCGCAGACTCTCTGCTGAGCAAGGAGTCTGATTCAGGACTCAATCCCAGGATACTGGGATCGTGACCTGAGCCGAAGGCAGATGCTTAACCAACTAAGCCACCCAGGCATCCCTAAACACTCAAATTTTGACAGATACTCCTAGATAACCTTCTTACGGGTCTTCTCCAATTCACATTCCCATTAACAATGCATAAGAATGCCTGTTTCCTGGGGCACCTGGATGGCTCAGTCATTAAGCATCTGCCTTCAGCTCAGGTCAAGATCCCAGGGTCCTGGGATCGAGCCCCATGTCTGGTTCCCGGCTCCCTGCTCGGGAAGCCTGCTTCTTCCTCTCCCACTCCCCCTGCTTGTGTTCCCTTTGTTGCTGTCTCTCTCTCTCTGTCAAAAAATAAATAAAATTAATTAAAAAAAAGCCTGTTTCCTTTAAGTCCTTTTTTTTTTTTTTTTTTAGATTTTTATTTATTTATTTGACAGAGAGAGACACAGTGAGAGAAGGAACACAAGCAGGGGGAGTGGGAGAGGGAGAAGCAGGCTTCCCGCCGAGCAGGGAGCCCAACGCGGGGCTTGATTTCGGGACCCTGGGATCATGACCTGAGCCGAAGGCAGATGCTTAACAACTGAGCCACCCAGGCACCCCTCCTTTAAGTCCTTTTCAAACCTCAGTATTATTCATATCTTTTTAAAGGTATGGATTAAAACAATCTCCGTGATGTAATTGCTACTCTTAAGATGTTTATAGTTTGCTGAGAGTATCTCTCTGTGGGCTGAGGTTTCTCACCCATTTTGTTTTTAAATGGATAGAGTTGGAATGTTGAAGATTCGTCTGAATATTTTGGAGCACTTGTAGAGAATGACATGTTTAAGTGCTTATTAAATTTCGCAGTTAAAGAGCTAACACTGATTTGGTATTTTGTTTGTACCACGTACTGTGCTAAGAGCTTTAGTTATACGGGTGCCTGGATGGCTCAGTCATTAAGCATCTGCCTTCAGCTCAGGTCATGATCCCAGGGTTCCGGGATCGAGCCCCACATCAGGCTCCCTGCTCCACAGGAAGCCTGCTTCTCCTCTCCTATTCCCCCTGCTTGTGTTCCTTCTCTAGCTATGTCTCTGTCAAATAAATAAATAAAGTCTTAAAAAGAAAAAAAGAGAGCTTTAGTTATATATCTCATTTAATTCTCATTGCCTGTATTAGTCATCTGTCGCTGTGTTAGATTTGTCCCAAACACAACAAGCATTTATTGCCTCAGAGTTTCTGCGGGTCAGGAATTTGGGAGCTGCTTAGTTCAGTGGTTCTGGCTAGGATCTCTCTAAGGTTGCCTTTAAGATCTAGGCCAAGGTTGTATCATCTGAAGACTTCCCTGGGACTGGAGGATCTTTACTCACATGGCTGTTGGCCACAGGTCTTAGTTCCTCTCAACGTGGGCTTCTCCACGGGGCTGCTTGCGTGTTCTCACAACACAGCAGCTGGCTTCCATGAGTGAGTGATCCAAAAGGAAGCAAAGAAGAAGCCCTGGTGCTTTTAACGACCTAGTTTCCAAAGTCGCCCATTGTTACTTCCACTTTATTGGCTGAAAGTGAGTCACTGGGGACAGGCCACATTCAAGGGAAGGGGATTAGGTTCCACCTGTTGAAGGGAAAGACTATCAAAAAATTTGTAGACATATTTTAAAACATTCATACATCCCTATGAGATGATTGTTGTTAAACAGTTTTTATTGTTTCAGCCATTTTACTGGTGAGAAAAATTAGTTGACTACTTATTTAGGCTTATCTCCTCCTCCCTAGCCTCTACCCTCTCTACTCTGCTTGAACTAGTCTTCTCACTGTCCCTCCTAGACAGATTGTTCTTTCTCAGCCACATATTCATTCAGTGAATACTTATTGATGCTTGTCTGTGTGCCAGGCATATTATGGAAAATGCTAAAATAGACATGGTCCGTGATGTCATGGAGCTTACAGTCTAGTGGAAGAGAGAATCCTTAATCAAGTCATCACACAAATAAATAAATCACTGTCACTTTGAGAAAGGCCATGAAGAAAAGGTATTCCTGGGCTTATTCATGCTGTTGTTCCCTACCTATTTCCTAATGCCACACTTACCTATTTAACCTAGAAAGAAAACCTGCTTTATTTTTATATATAAAAGGCTTACTTCTCCATCAGAGTCTAATTTGAGTCCCACTTCAGTGAAGCCTGTCCCTTTCAGCCTACACAAATATTCTTTTCTTTGAACTTTATTTGGTATTATCACATCTAGTAATTATTTCTTTAATGTTACCTACCTACCTCTACCCCTTTACCTCTCTCTCTCTACCTCCCTCCCTCCGTCTCTCCCTCTTCCTCCCCCTTTCTCACTCTGCCACCAAGCCTTCTTTCTATGCTTCAAATATGCCAAGCTCCTCCCTGTGCTGGGACATTTGTCCTAGCAATTCCCTCTGCCCTGAAATGTATTTCATTCAGTCTTTGACTAAGTCCTTCTTGTTACTGAGATCTCAGTTCAAATTTCACCTCCTTTTTTTTTAAGATTTTACTTATTTATTTATTTGAGAGAGAGAAAGAGAAAGCAAGAATGAGATGGGGGAGGGTCAGAAGGAGAAGCAGACTCCCCGCTGAGCAGGGAGCCCAACATGGACTCGATCCTGCGACTCTAGGATCATGACCTGAGCCAAAGGCAGTTACTCAACCAACTGAGCCACACAGGCGCCCCAAAATTTCATCTCCTTATAGAAGCCTTCTCTGACCATCTAATCTAAAGTAGCTCCCCAGTCACTAATCAGGTTACCTTATTTTAATTTTCTTCTAATACACCCCACCATCCAGTGTTTTTCTTATATAAAATTGTCTGTCTCCTTACACTAAAATGTAAATACCACAAGATCACTGGTATGGAATAGGGCTCATTTGTTGCAGTAATGAGTGAATGAAAAATGGCCTGAAGCTCGTGAACGTACGCCTCCTAAAAGGAAAGAAGGAAAGAGGCCTGAGTTCCTGAGCTCCTGGGCTTCTTACTGGACTCCGTGGTTCAGAACACGCTGCTGCTTGCTCCAGGAACTCTGTTGAAATTCTTTGCTAGTACTTAATCTGATACTTTCCCTCTTTGTTTTTCTTTCACCTTCTACTAGGGTGTAAGCTCCTTGAGAGCAAAACCTCGTGGTCTTGTTGGCCACTGTCTCCACAGTGCCTGTGGCAATGCCCAGCACAGAGACGCCCAGCACTGGTTGGAGGGAAGAAGGGATCAGGTTTACTTTGTTTGCTATCCATCTGCTGCCCGCCACAGTGTTAGACACATAACAGGTGCCCAGAAACTTCACTGGTTACTCTGTGAGGCCGTTCTGAATATAATTGCTATCAGTAGATCTGTGTCCTCATCCTAGACTTTGGGGGCAAGAAATCAGTTTGGAACTAAGAATCTTTTAAGAATGTTTTGAGCCACACTACAAAGGTGTTAGAATATGATCTCAGCTGCCTGAAATTATGTATTGTACAAGTTCCCCCAGTCCTCATTCAAGAGAGAAGTCCAGCTATTTAGAATTCTACCCCTACATAGCAGAAGGGAAGACACATTTTATTTTTATTCAGTTCCTATTTTAATACATGTACTGCATCAGTCAGCACGTCAGTGGGTATTTATTGAGCCCCTTCAGGTACAGAGTAGTACTTTGGTTGAGCTGTTGAGTTTGAAATATTAATCACATTGTTAAACCAAAACTGAATCCCCAAGTAGTTTAAAGTGTTGTCCAAGTTCCTGTAGACTGTATTTTGTGATGATGGGCTTTTGCTTTATAATGTATGTTCCCACTTGGTCAGGAACAAAAGTTCAGTAAATAACCAAGATGTTATTTTTTACCAAAATGAAATCTTTCAGGGGTCCTTGATCATTAGCTTTCTCCCTGTCCAGTTGTTGAGGGATTGTGTTGTAATCACTGCAACTTTTCGGTAACTTAAGATTTTGGATCTTGTAGCTGCCAGGAGTAGGATAAAGAGTAATACTTGCCTTTCCCTCTTTGGCACTAGTGTTTAAATTGGGCAGGGAGACAGGTGCCTGGGCACGGTTGGTTAAGTTTCCAATTCTTGGTTTCAGCTCAGATCGTGATCTCAGGACCCTGAGATCGAGCCCTGCATCGGGCTCCGTGCTCAGCATGTAATCTGCTTGGGTTTCTCTCTCCCTCGTCCTCTACCCCCCTCTCCCCTCTTCTCTCCCTTTCCCTCAAATAAATAAATCTTTATTTTTTTAAAAAGGGAGGGCAGGGAAGGAAGGGGTATTACTGCTGCCTTCCAGATCTCAATTCTATCCAATATATTGTAGTTCCTCTACTCTTGTGAGAAGACAGCGTATAATGCCTGGGTCCCAGAAACACATAAAAGCCAAGGGCGCCTTGATATTATCCTCGGCTACAGAGTCTGTGCAGGAAGCATTCATTCTCCAAATTTTCTTTTCATTGTTACTCTCTTCCTTTCAGATATCTCTGTTGACTTCTGCAGTAAACCACCTCAAAGCCAACGTTAAGTCAGCTGCAGACTTAATTAGTCTGCCTGCCACTGTAGAGGGACTTCAGAAGGTAAGTGCTACATGTGGGCACTGGGATTAACCTATTGCTGTTGCTTCTAACAAGTTTTCTTTGAAAGCATGGCATTTGAAATCAGCTACTCCAAGAGGGCATTAATAGAGTATATCACTGTGTTCTAAACAGTTCAGAACCTCTCTGTTTTGGTTTGGTTAGTTGGGCCTCTAATTTGCAACAGGTGAGTTTATGGATTTACACTTTTTTATTTGGCTCTCTGAATCCCGAGATTGCTCTTCTGGGGCTCTTAAAGGTTAACATACGTGGGTTTGCTTCTCATCGCTTGTATTCTCAATTCATCATCCACAGTGTCTTCATGAAAGCAGACCAACTGTAGAAGAAAGTTGCTCTAAATTGCTACTTTTTTCGGTTGAGAAAGAGGTTTTTAAAAAATGTAATAATAATTGGGGAAAATGCAAAAATTCGAAGTTTAGGATATGATAAGTGTTGGCAAGGATGTGGAGCAAAGGTAACTTTCAAAACACTCTTGCTGGGAGTATAAATTCCTTTAAGCAATTCACTCTTGTGTGCCCTAAACTCTAGGGCCTAGGCAAAAAACAATTTGGAATTCCCATTTACTTGATCCCTAGGATTCAGGCCCAGAGCAGAAGGGAGTAACCAACCAGCTGAATAATATACAGCAATCTGTAGAGCTGGATGGGGAGAGTGGATAGGGGTAGGAAGGAAAAAAGGGTACCTAGTTGGAACACAAGCAAATCAGACCCTGCAGCAGGAAATGGAAGAAGGGATTCTGGAGCTTCAGGGAACCCTAAAGAATGGGTGTCAAATCTAAGATTTTTGACTTTTCAAAGTTAGTGTATAAGAAGTTTGATTTGACTATATGCCAGGCTTTATAAACATATAAATTGTTTCCACAAAGGAGTGGAAAAGTCATCTGCCACTTGCAGAAACAGAACTTGCTATTTTGTAACCATACCACCTGTGTGTGCTCAGTCTCCGCAGTTTGCTACTTATCCAAGATGGTCATCTGCTCACAACTTAAAAGGGGAGGATGGGGGAAGGTGGGGAGAGAAATGTGATGAGGCGAATTCTTGCCATTTTTCCCAGGAGTCAAATGGAAAAAAGGTAGGCCTCTGTGGTCTTTAATTCAGAAGCAACTCTGGCAGTCTTGCATTAGAAAATGACATTGGTTTATTGCATTAATTCAATAAACATTAGTGGAGCTTCCTCCAGTTTGTGCCAGGCACTTTGCTGTGAGTGAGAATACTAGTTTCAGGGTTTTGCTCTAGAATTCACATGGCTCTGCCAGCTGCTTCCTTAAAAAAAAAAAAAAAAAAAAAAAATCTTAAACAAGAGCTTACTATCTTGCATCCTAATGGGCTCATACATCCAGCAAGGGAGGATCGTCTAACAGTAGATGTCTTTGAATGTCCGTAGCTTCTGTAACAACAGAGCTCACATAGAACACACCCCAGCTTAGAGACTTACCCAGTGTGTTTTCTCTTTGGAAATCTGTGCTCTTATAATATCAGATACTACTTTTAATACAAGTGGCTCCATTTTGAAGTAGAGGGTCATGGTTTGGTTAGTCAAATAACCTGACTTCAGTATATCTCATGATTTTTTTTAGTTTTGAAAATGTCATCTCTTGGTCTTTTGGGTTCTTGGCTGTCAGTATAATAAAAACAACCTTGGTTAAAAAAAACTAATGTATTTACTATAAAACTGGGGCGCCTGGGTGACTCAGTTAAGTGTTTTACCTTCGGCTCAGGTCATGATCCCAGGGTCCTGGGATTGAGTCCTGTGTCAGGCTCCCTGCTCAGCGGGGAGCCTGCTTCTCCTTCTGCCCCTCCCCCTTTTCATCCTTTGTCTCTCTCAAATAAAAAAATAAAAATCTTGAAAAAATAAAACTATAAAACTGTCAATATATCTTAATAAGAGGACAACACCCACCAAATAGTAACACTCTTTTGGATATTCCCTTAGGACAGGCCTTTTTAAAATGGTGGTTTTTGAACCATATTTCCCAAGTCCCAGTCCACTTGGGCTCCTTAAGCCTAAAGAAGACTCGCATCTCATTCCACTCAGCAGTTGCTACTGGGATTCTAAAGCAAAAAGGAACAAATGCTGCCAAATGGAATTTTTCCTTTGTCTCTGCAACACTGGGTTTCCCAAAGCCAAAAAGGGTTCCACCCACTGTCATTCAGAAGTCATCATTTGCTCCTGACACAGTAGCAGTCTACAGGGTTAGCTGTGGCCTTCTGCCACCTACCACAGGGCTTCGTAGGCAGTTTGTGGGAGACCTTTATCTGTGGGTCCCAGATTTATGAACTAGTTTTTGTTTTTTAAGAAAAAGACTTGGTTTTTATCTAGGAAAAGTCCTTTAAATTGGGAAAATTATTTGTTATATATATATAATTTTATATATACAGGTGACCCTAGAACTATGCAGTCCACTTATGTGGAATTTTTTTTTTTTTTTTTGTAAATACTGTACAATGCAGTAAATGTACTTTCTCTTATGATGTCCTTAACATTTTCTTTAGCTTACTTTATGGTAAGAATATAGTGTATAATACATACAGTATAGAAAATATGTGTTAACTGTTTATGCTATCGGTAAGCTTCTGGTCAACAGGCTATTAGTGGTTAAGTTTTGGGGGAGTTAGAAGTTACATGTAGATTTTCAATATAAATCAAACAACTGTGTTGTTGAAGGGTCAGCTGTATATAAACATAAACGTGTAGTTTCCTGTTAATTGTGTCTGCATAAGCTACATGAAATTCAGTTTGAAGAGACTTGAAATAATTAAAAACACTGAGCTTCATTAGGTCAGTGTTTAATGTAAAATAAAATCACAGTGATAGACCACTGCATTCCTAAAAGAATGGCTAAAATGAAAAAGACTGAGGGTAGCAGTATTGATGAGGATATGAAGGAACTGGAATTCTCCTACACTGCCGGTAGGAATATAAAGTGGTATAACAGTTTAGAGCACATCTTGGCAGCTTTTTTAAAAAGTTAAGCATGTATCTACCATATGATCAGCCATTCACCACCTAGGCATTATGATGAAAAAGCGTACAATGAAGGGAAATAAAAACGTATGCCCACATAAAGACTTGCACATGAATGTTGACAGCAGCTTTATTTGTAATAGTCAAATAGTGAAAACAACCTAAATGTCCATCAACAGGTGAGTAGTTAAACTGTGTTGTATCCATATGATGGAATGCTTCTCAGCAACAAGCTCAGTGGCTACAGTATGGATAAATCTTAAAAGATGAAGCTGAGTGAAAGAAGCCATACCCGAAAAACAAAACCAAAAAACCCCACATAATCATTCACTGGTCCTATTTATACAAAATTCTAGAGCATACAAACTGATATGTAGTGGATCAGTGGCTGCCTGGGGGTGGGGAAGGGAAGAATCACAAAGGGGTCTAAGGAAACTTGGGGTGATGGATGTTCATTATCTCAATCATGCCAATAGTTTCCCAGGTGTATATGTCAGAACCTACCACCTATACATTTTGAATTTGTGTGGTTCATTGTGTATCAGTTATATCTTAGTAACGCTATTAGAAATTTTAAAAAGGAAAAGACGCTGGTCTTACAACATGTTTCTGTTCAGAGTGTAGCTACCATTGGCAACACTTTAAACAGCGTCCATCTTGCTGTGGAGGCAATACAGAAGACTATCGATGAACACAAGAAAACCATTGAGTCATTGCAGAGTGACATGGTAAGGAAATCTACAAATGCTGCGGGAAGTCAGCATTCTGCCTACCCTCTTCTGTGTAATAGGAGTGATGCCATCTTCCCTTTCATCTGAACTGACCTTACTATGCACCTTTTTAAAAGATGTAATCTGTAAATTACACAGTTAAGGAGGATAAAATTAAAAGCTGAGTCTTTTGCAAGCATACTGGGGGAAATGACAGTAAGATGCAGTCCTGGGTGGAATGGGTAGGAAGGAAAATGGAGAAGGATAGGGAAGTGTCACAGGTATTGATTGCTACATAACAAATCACCCTAAACTTAGTGGCTTAAAACAACACGTTATTACTTCTCACTGTTCTGTGGGTCGGAAATTTGGATGGAGCTCCCAGACTATGAAATGGTGAGAGGCCAAGTGAAGAGGACTCTAGAAATGAAAGGCCATCTGGGATGTTCCGTCTCCAGCCAGATTCCCAGTTGAATGCAGTCGTGAGTGCGCGTGCGCAAGTGTGTGTATGAAAGTGTGAGAGAAAGAAAGATTTCAGCCTGCATCATGTGAAACAGAAGAATACCCCCATACCCGCTGAGCCCAGTCAACCCACAGAATCATGGGAATAATAAATTGTTTTGAACCACAAAGTTTGGGGATGATTTGTTATGCAGCAGCAGATAAGTGAGACAGAAGCAAACGCCTGCAGTGCTCAGGAATTGTCTTCAAATGTCTCTCCGTGTTGTGTGGGTGTAAGTGGTCTACAGTCATTCCGAGGCCTTAATCAATCACCTAGTGAGTAGTCTGCTCCATGAAAGATTTACGAAGGGAGAAAAGGATGGCATAGCCCTCGCCGTCTTGCTGGGGAGATGAGTTATGTGTACATGAAATTAGGACTGTTCAAGGCACACAAAAGTTCCCCAGCTTTTCCACTAATTTCTAGGTCTATCCCACATGCTGTTCTCCAGCTTCGGAGTTTCAGGTTTAAACTGGGCAGTTTGTACCAAGGAGACCAGGGCTATATTAGAGCTCTAGAAGGGGATGGTTTTTCATTTCTTCAGAACAAGTACTCCTCACTGGTATTTAATGGGGCTGACCCGGAGGAACAGTTGTTGAGCTGGTGTTCAGACACTCTGGATTCCAGTTCCACCTCTGTTGCTGAGTAACTGTGGGATCCATAATAATAAACTCAATTCTTTCATTACTCTTATGTTAATATCTTGAGCATTTTCTCAAAGTAATAAATATTTTCCAAAATACATGTTCCCTAAGTCAAAAATTCATGCTTTAGAGAACCATGGGGTTTTTTTCTCCCACCTTTCTATTTTCTTTATTGTTGCCTTTTGTTTCTTCTAAAAGCAGGGTTGATAAATGTCTAGGATTTCAAAATTCAGGGAAAACCATTTATTTTCCCTAATTGCAATCTGTTGTAATTAAATCTGCCTCTTTTAAACTTCCATGGTTGCCAGTGGTAATCCTCCCCACTGGCACATTTTATACTAAGTCATAGATATGAGCTCTGAAAGACTAAGCCATGCAAAGTTTTTCCACTAGAGGGAAAAAGTGTATATATAAATGTGTTCATTCTCTGCAAAGAGAGACTTGAGTGGTGGGAAGGGGATGGGTAGGGAAGGGTAACCTTCAGACATAAATCTTGGCATGTGCTGTTAAAACTGGAAAAATAAATAATGTGCATGCTTGGTTGTTGTACTCAGTGCCCAAGGCTAGTGGTTACATGACTGGCTACTCTGAGTGCACAAACCTCTTTAGTCCTGGGGAAGTGATGACACTAGCCAGGTCCAGACTGAGTTGGCCCCTGGGAGTGATAGTGATTCTGTAGTTTCTCTGGGAGTACAGGTAATGGAGAAGAGCAGGACTGGTTTCTGGGGAGTTCATTCCATTCAGAGATGAGAAACAGACTGGGAGGATCTCAGTTCCCTGATGAGTCTGGGTGCTGCTGGTCCAGTCCATGCTTCAGGCTGGAATCCCCAAGAGTACCTGGTGCCCTTGGGGCCTAGCACAAGACTGGTCACACTGTAGGCTCCTGGGAAGTAATTGTTGATTAATCTGTGAATGCCCCCTCTGGGAAGCTAGAATGTTCTAGGACCATCCCAAATGGTTAAGTAGACCTGGTAACTAGTTGTTGCCTTTACTAACCTCCATTTCTGTTAACAGAATCGGCACTTCTTGAAAGAGACCAGTGGAAGCAACCAGATCATTCCATCACCTTCGGCTACATCAGAATTTGACAATAAAACCCACAGTGAGAATTTGAAACAGGTACTTTCTGTCTCTGGCTTTACTCCCTGTGCCCACAGTGGACTCTGGAGGCCACCTGAATAGTTGGGCTCAGTGTTGTCATGCCTCATCCCATGCATATATTTGCCTGCCTGAGAGCTGAGCAGACAGCAATGTGTGTTGCTATCTTAGGAATCCAAGATGCCATCCTGGTTCTTCTTTGGCACTCTGCTTTTTTTTCCCTGCATGTCAATCAGTGGAGTAAATTCCTTTTCACATCTTGGAAGACATAGAATAGCCAAATTACCCTGAAACTGTTTATGAAAAATAGCAATCTGGGCAAGTTTAACATTTCTAAAATGTTGGAAAGCATATCCCTGGAAGTCAAGATTTTCTAAAGACAAGAGGAGGGAAAAGGCTATTGAGTTCAGAATCACATTAAAGAAAATAAAGGAAATCTTCACTAAGAAGAATTCCTGTCCTGAGTTTAATGCCCTCTAAAACCTATAGTCATCATTCCTTTTTAAGTAGCAATCAGTACTGGAGAATGTCAATAAAAATAATTGAATCTTGTACTAAATAATGCACTACTTGTTATGGTTTTGCTACATGAGCCAATTCAGTAATTGGTATTGTTCCTAAGATAGTTTTGTTCTGACAAATTAGGTTAATAGGCGTTTCAGTTAATAACCCAGCAAGCTTTCCTGCCAGCAGGTGAGGTAAACATTGGGAAATCAATTCCCAAGCTCTCAGCTTTCTGGGACCAGAGAGTGAATCATGTAGGTAGTCCCCTTTCCCCTCTTGTCTAGCTGAGGTCAAACAATTCCAGAGGGAGTGAACTCGGAGCAATTTAGAGTGGAGGGACAAACCCAAGACAGACAATCAATGGTCTAAACCAGGAAAAGAAGTTTACTTCAGTAACGTGACATAGTAATAGTTGTTTAGTGCTGCTGGCCTGCTTGTCTCGTGTATGTCTTTAGCTGGATTCTACAATTTGATTTATTTCCACTCCAGGATATCCTGTACCTTCACAACTCTTTAGAGGAGGTAAACAGTGCCCTAGTGGGGTACCAGAGACAGAATGATCTTAAACTCGAGGGGATGAATGAGACGGTCAGTAACCTTACCCAGAGAGTCAACTTGATAGAAACAGATCTGGTTGCTGTGAGCAAGGTAGAAAAGCAAGCGAACCTGTCCCTCAGCATGGTAAGCCTTTTTTGGATCTTTTGTAGTATGTTCTGTGTTGCAGTGTGTTTTGTCTGTACATGGATGACACTCCACAGATTTTTCAGATCCAGTCCCCTGGCATATTTGAGAGGCTATGCATTCGTACCATGCTTCACACTAGCTTAGTGATGTGAGTGGCACAGGCAGAGTTAGCCCCTATCTGGAAGTGGCGGGGGGGGGGTGGCTGTGTAGAGGAGTTGGTTGCTTGCCAGGGCCTCACCCCAAGCCGTTGTCTGGTAGGGAAGCTCTGGCACATATTTCCAGGGGAGGTCTTCTTGCTCTTTTTTAAGTTGGTAAGGGTGGGAGCATTAACAGTGACAATGACTGAAGAATCTTTTGCCATTTCTTTTTTTTTTTTTTTGCCATTTCTTTAAGTCTGAACTTGACTTTCAAATTTATCCTGCTTGGTTTGCACGTTTGGGTGAACCTTTTGCATATAACGCAGGAAAGCCATTTAAAACAGACCAGACTAGACCAGCTCCTCAACTTGAGAGATCATTGAGTCCATCCTGCCATTTTACATGAGAATACTGAGTGACCTAAGTCATTGATGCTGGCAGACCATGTGTTTTACTGGTTTTCATGTTATTGTCAATAAAATGTGTGCTTTTTAATCCCCTTCATATAGACGTTGTGCTGAGATCCCTGGGGATTATTTTTTAATAGCTACAAGCCCCACCCTTAAAGATTTCATACAACGAAGACACAGGCATATGTAAAGAAATGCAGACCTAAAACAGGAAATTATACCATAAATTGACGTAAGCAGCAGAGCTAGAAACAAGCCCACAAGTAAAGTTGAACTCCGGCCCCCGGACATCAGGGTTTGAACAGGTTCTGCCACAGTGGAGCCTTGGCAGCTTGCTTGACGTGGCTTGGAGGGTGACAGATCAGAAGACCTGTTCCCCCTCCTGCTTTACAAGGGTGTGTAATTTACTACAAAGCTGTGAAGATTAAAGGAGCCTTATTTTAAAAAGCCCTTTTGAACTCAGCTAAGTAGGGGCTAGGAATTTGGGGTGATTTGATGAGTAGTAGGCCTTGAAGGTTTTCAAGTCTTATAGTGAAAACTTTCTGCCGCAAACTCCCCATACTGTCCCTCTCCTCTCCACTTTCTTTTCCTCCAGAAGAGGAAATTGTTAGTAGTACCATCTGTCCTGCTGTGTCTTCCAGCAGCATCCTACCTAGCATGCTTCTGGGTATAAGTCCTCTCACTGTTCATGCTTCAGAAATTCTAAGGTTTGTGAAGCCCCAGTTTCAGCTTTGTATCTCAGCAACCTTTCCCTCTCCTCTCATCCTCCTACTGGAATTTCTGTTGAAAGTGCTCTGAGAGCCTTTAAAGAAGTTTGACCAATTTGTTTTAAAAGTGTTAGATGTTTAAGTTTTATTATTTTTTATCAAATATTTATTTATTTATTTATTTGACAGAGAGAGAGAGACCGCGAGAAAAGGAACGCAAGCAGGGGGAGTGGGAGAGGGAGAAGCAGGCTCCCCACTGAGCAGGGAGCCCAATGCAGGGCTCAGTCCCAGGACCCTGGGATCATGACCTGAGCCAAAGGCAGACGCTTAACCGGCTAAGCCACCCAGGCGTCCCGATGTTTGTTTTAATGTTTGCCTTTAATCTTGTTTTTACCCTTTAAGATGGATGATAGAGCCACCACTCTGAAAAGAGAGTCCTTGCGTCAAGTGACAAACAGAACAGATACATTAAAAACCCAAAGCATAAAGATAAATAAGGGGGGCTTATTTTGAGGTAAAAAGAATGCATCAGCATCTTTATGCTTTTGAAGGGCACCTGTCCAGCTCAGTCGATAGAGCATGAGGCTCTCAGTCTCGGGGTTGTGAGTCCAAGCCCCAAGTTGAGAGTAGAGATTACTTAAAAACAAACAAACCACAACAGCATATTTGTGCTTATGAGCTACTGTTTCTTTCTCAAAAGGAGTACTTTAGTCTCCATTTGTTGCAACTTCAGGACAAAGTGATTAGTAAATTAGTATATTAGTGAATAAGGGAGTACTTTATCAGGCATCTACCTTGTGCAAGGACTTGGGGTGACCACAGTGAGCAGGACAGACATGTGACCCTTATTCCGGTGGAGCTCAAAGTCAGAAAATCATTAATACATAATTGAACAGATAATTAAGCACAAGGATGATAAGTGCTACAAAGGAAAAATATAAGGTACGATGAGGATGTTAGCAGAGATCAGGAAAGCTTCCCTAAGGAAATGAATTTTTTTTTTAAGATTTTTTATTTATTTGTCTTAGAGAAAGAGCACGCAGAAGCAGGGGGAGGGAGAAGCAGGTTCCCTGCTGAGCAAGGAACCCGATGTGGGACTCCATCCCAGAACCCTGGGATCATGACCTGAGCCCAAGGCAGATGCTTAAGTGAGCCAGCCAGGCATCCCAGGAAATGACTTTTAAGCTAAGACAATAAGTTATCTGTACTCATGACAGAGAACAGAGGCGGAGATCATCGAAAACTGGTGACTAATCAGCATTTATTTTTAGATTGCAGTCTCAGTACATATGTAGTCCATTTAAGCCCCAGCCTGTTCCTTTCACCTTGTCTCTTTCCCTGTTTTTTTTAAGTTCTTTCCTGACAAATTGTCAAGGTAGGACAATCTGTGATATGCTTTGATATCCCAGGAAAGAAAGTTTATTTGCAACATTCTCTGTGATTAGAGTGTTAATATTATAAGATCTGGGCTAAGATAAAGTAAAAGCCCAGAAGATTGTGGCTGAGTGGCTAAAATACCATCTGAGATGCCCATTGTGTGTGAGGAGCTCAAGGATATGAGGTTCAGAGGAAATGCACTTGGAAATGAACCATACATAGTACAGGCAGTTTTCGATGTAATACTTTCCATCTGTATTCGTTCTTCCCTAACTATTTCATATAGTCTAGCTATATTAAGATTTTAATGCTTTGTGAGCTAGGCTTTTGTTGAGTTTTCTAACTGCTTTTGAAAAAATAAATAAATAAAAATAACCCACCTGGGGAATGACAAGAAAAACCAAAGATCCAGATATACATGTTGAACACAAAAAGTAACAGGTGGTTACTGCTGGAGATTCTTAGTGATTTCAGCAACAGTCCAGATTTTAATTGTAAACCTCAGAATCAAATGCAGCTCATGCACATTTTTTGCCTAAATTTCCTGGTTTTGTTTTCAGACCCTTTGTTTTAAACTGTCATCCCAGTGTGTTGGTCCCTTTGTCCTAAGCATCCTAACTGGATATAATTTCTCCCTAATTTCTTTGTAAATTCAAGTATTTAGTACCTAGCTTTAGTCACCTGTGTCCATATATTAGCTCCATAATAAACCAAGAGCAATCTTCTATATGGTAACTATAAGAGTAGAAATAAAGATCAGAGGGAAATAACTGAATAAAAAAACCATGTAATAAGTTGGTGCTGTCATTGAACATAGGATTAGGACCTTTCACACTAGGCTAAGCAGTTAGAAAAGCCTAAGCCTCATAGAAATCAGACTTCTCTTTTTTTACAATTAAATGTATTTTTTATGTGCCACTCTGGATCATCCTGGGAATGAGAAAGGGCATAGAGAAGAAACTTTTTAAAAGATATAAGTAAGTTAACGAATTAGGAATTTTGCAGTTCCTTCTGTGTGTTCCCAGCAGTTCCTGCCACCAGTTGAATCCTCACCATAGTGGGGAGAGAAGGAAAAGCCAAGGTTGGTTGCTTTTTTTTTTTTTTAAAGGTGATAAGAGTGTAACACTCCCTAAATTTGTCTAGTCACAAGGTGAAGTACGGTAACAGGAAAATTATTTAGTGTGAAATAGTTCCTAGAAAATAATATCTACTCATTTAGGAAATTGGTGTTGCATGGGCACCTGAGCAAGGGTACATTTCCTTTACTGCTGACACATGCATACCTTCCCCCATCAACCAAATGTTCACAGTGAATCAGGTCATCTGTTGCATAATGTTCCCTTAATGATCTAGCCTCAAATCCCGCTAGGCCCTTATCAACTCTGAGTACCAAAGGTATTTCTATAGTATTTGTTGATTCATTCTTTTATTACTTTTAATAGGGAACCTACTGGAAGTCAAGCCCTACATGCTAAATAGGCTCTGGGAATATAATGAGGAATCAGATAAGGTCTTACTTCCACCTTAAGCCTTCTGTGATCTTTGTTTTGGGCAGAAAGAAGATAGTTCAGATTCTCAAGTATCCAAGCTAAGAGAAAAACTACAGCTGATCAGTGCTCTCACAAACAAACCCGAGAGCAACAGGCCTCCAGACACCACTAACAAAGGTGAGATACTCAGGGCTGGCTTCTGAATATTTCACGCAGGCTTGGGCAGCCTGCCTCCCACACAGGGAGTGGGGAAAGGTGTTCCAGCAAGACCGATCAAACTGAGGGAATGATGCCTGAGTGCATCGAGATGAAGCTGATACACTTTGGTTTCATTTAGAAAAAGCCCATTTTGTACATGATTTGTATTCCAGACTATTAAGGAAAGAATGGGTAATGTTTAGCTTGAAATAGACTTCTCCATGCTGTCTGCATCCAATTATAGGCAAAAATGTAACTGTCATAGTGTATATTAAACCAGCCCTAAATGTTGTTTACGGAGTCTTTTCATTACTCTAAGTGCATAAAATTTACTTAAAAATAAATACTAGTCCTTCTGAAAAACCATTAACAAATAATGATAGATAGGATCATTGATTTGGAAAGGCCCTTGGCTCTAGGTAGGGACATACCTAATCAATATTAGCAGATGCCACAAGGATGTAACCAAAGCACTGGACTGGGTTGGCTTTGACCCCTACTCCCCACAAATATTTTTTCATTTGGGGGAAAGCATTACAACCTCTCTTACTCTCTTTCGGATGGGGGCAGACTACAGTGGGAGGCTTTGTCCTAACATCATGCTGCATAATTGTATGAAAGCCCTCTTTCAGCACCAGCTGATCTGGTGGCACATACCCCAGGTCAGGCTTATAGTATGGCTCCTAGGATATCAAATATCCAATGCTGTTCTTACTTGCAGCTTAAACTCTTAGCATCTAAACCTATATAATGCTGACTTGTACTATAAGAGCTGCCCCTGGGCTTCCCACAACTTAAACCCTAATGTTATATGATACTGATTGATCTTCACTTGCCTACACAACATATCTCAGTCCATGCCTTTAACTTCAGGTAGTCACTGTGCTACTTAATTCTGAACTATTTCTCTTAAATTAAGTACATGTGCAATTGCCCTAAAAAGTGACCTTCAGTACTGGTTTAATTTGGTGTCGCATTTGATACTACTATAACAGTATGTGTTTGTTACAGAGCAAATACAGAGTTTCACATCAAAGCCGTCGGCATTGCCAAAATTCCCACAGTCTCTTGGAGATGAAACTGAGAAAGCTGTGCAGCTGAGACCTATTGCCCTACCAGGAATTTCTAGCATCAAAGGTAAATTTTTATACCATGGAGTAATAGGGAAAATGTTCAAAGCTCAAATTTTGTAATTTTTTTAACTTACAGGAAAAAGAATCCTATCTAACATTGAGCACTTCCTGTGAGCCAGGTACTTGATATGCTATGCATTACATCATATAATCCTGTTAATAGTCCTGGGAACATAAATATTCATGTGTTATACCCATTTTCTCGATAGGGAAACTGCCTAAGTCCACACAGCAAATAATGGACTGAGGCAGAATTTACACCAAGGCAATCTGACACCAAAGTTTGCACTCTTAACCAGTGCACTATAGAGCCTTCATTCATTGAGTGAGTACCTAATTAGACCCAGTGCTAAGCAGTAAAAATACAGTGTAAGATACGATCTCACTTTCCTCAAGGATGTGACGGTTTAGTGGAGAAGGCAAATAAGCAACCACAATACCGTGAGATTAGCAAAATGGAAGTTAACCCTATTTGCTAAGGCCTTCCAAAAATGAGGAGGGGTCCTTTGGCTGAAAATCAACAAGATAAACATTAGTAGGAAGGAGATGATTCCCAGTAAAACATGTTCGCCTTGCTTCCAGCAGCGTATATGCTGTTCTTCATTGTGATGTTTAGAGTCACCTGATCTTGCATTGGATAACTGCCTGTAAAATCACCCATTCCCCCCCACCTACCTTTGTCTGGCTCTCCACCTTAACTTAGATACTGCTCCACCAGGAAACAATTTCTTATCTCCTAGGACTGGATTAGATGCTTCCTGTGTTTGCTGTCTTATAATATTGTATATTTGCCCGTTTAGCACATGTCACTCTGTTGTAATTTCCTGGGAAGATAGAAAATTAACTTTACTCCCAGCCCCTAGCATAGTGCCTGGTACAGGTGAATATTTGTTAAGTGAATGAGTTATCTACGGTCTATAATTAATGCTTAAAACATAGAAGACTTAAATTATATTGCCATATAATTGCAATTACTTTTTCCCCTTATCCCCAGTTTTTCTTTTCTTTTTTTTTTTTTAAAGATTTTATTTGTTTATTCATGAGAGACAGAGAGAGAGACAGAGGCAGAGGGAGAAGCAGGCTCCCCGCGGAGCAGGGAGCCCGATGCGGGACTTGATCCCAGGACCCTGGGATCATGACCTGAGCCGAAGGCAGACGCTTAACCGACTGAGCCACCCAGGCGTCCCACCCCAGTTTTTTTTTTCTTTCTATTTTCTGGGGAGACAGGAGAGTGTTAAATTGTTGATTGGCAATACAAGTGCCTTCTCCCACTTGCCATTTATTACATCAAAAATTGAGAATGAATGGAGGAAAGACTGTTAGAGCAGATTAAGAAATAACCATCTTAACATTTGTACTTCAGTCTCTAACATAGGCCTTATGTACTTTGGATGACTATACTTTTGAAATGACCCAAAGCAGCAATAAGATTTTTATTTGAATACTACAACAATTTTATAAGCTCATGCACTATACACACAAACAACACTTTCCAGCTAGCCACTTGGTGGCAGGCATTGAGAACAAGCATCCCACCTGCTTTTCCTGGCTTTCAGAGCTTTTGAGATTCTCTAGCAGCTTCACTGGATCTGTCTCAGGACTGAAGGTAGGGCCTTCTTCAAAAGCTCAAAACTCCTTGATTGACCTTGTATTGCAACTGCTTTCTGTCCCTTCAGGCCATTTCCATTCTTCCTAAGTACCAAACAGCAGGAGGCCTATAGAATCTAGGTGTGGGGTTGACTAAATGAAGAGAGGAAAAGGATTTAGGAAGACTTCTAAAGAAACAGAAGCCTCTGACTGTCTTCTGGTATTAGAGACAAAATCTATTAAGTCATTCTGTGGGGACACAATCAAGTCCTTTTAAAACATTATGTAAGTAATCAGTCCTTTTTATTATGGGCCTTTGAGAAAATACCAGAAGAGACTGTTGATAGAAACTGTCCAATCCTTTTGGCTCAAATACTACCTTCGAAATTGAAAAGAAGCTACAGATACTACTCTCTCTCTTAGCTAGGAGAGAGAGAAAGAGCACACAGGTGCCTGATGCTTCATATACACTGTAATAACACTTTGAAGAGATCTGTAGTCCTTTGCTTTTTTTTTAATTGAGATAAAATTAACATACCATAATATTCACCTTTTTTTTTTTTTTAAGATTTTATTTATTTATTTGAGACAGAGAGAGTGAGAGACAGAGAGCATGAGAGGGAGGAGGGTCAGAGGGAGAAGCAGACTCCCCGCCGAGCAGGGAGCCCGATGCGGGACTCGATCCCGGGACTCCAGGATCATGACCTGAGCCGAAGGCAGTCGCTTAACCAACTGAGCCACCCAGGCGCCCCAATATTCACCTTTTTAAAATGTATAATTAAGTGGTTTGTAGTATAGTCACATGTTGTACAACCCTCACCACCATCTAATTCCAGAACATTTTTTTATCATCCTGGAAAGAAATCCTGTACCCATTAAATAGTCACTTCCTATTCCCCCATGCCCTAGCCCCTGGCAACCACTAATCGTTCAACCAAAATCTTTGGATTTGCCTGTTCTGGGTATTTCATATAAATGGAATCATATGATCCATGGCCTCATATCCATGCTTCTTTCAACATGCTTCTTTCACTTAGCGTAATGTTTTCAGGGTCCATCCATGTTGTAGCATGTAGCGGTATTTCGTTCCATTATATGGCCAAATAATATTCCATTGTATGGATATACTACATTTTATCCATTCATCAGTTGGTGGACATTTGGATTGTTACTGCTTTTTGGCTATTAGGAATAATGCCGCTATGAACATTCATGTACAAGTGTTGGTGTGGGGATATGTTTTCATTTCTTTTGAGTATATACCTAGGAGTGGAATTGCTGGGTGATACGGTAACTCTGACTAACAGTCTGTTTTACGGGCTCAGCTCCTGTCATTAGCTCTTAAGGCCTCTCCAGTCCTTTTTACCCATTCAACATAAGAATAGAATCTGGTAAATCTAAAAGGAAAGCCTTGGACAGAGAGAATGCCAGCCCATTCATTTCTCTGTGATCATCTGTCACTGCTTCTGTTTTGGAAGGATAGTGCCAGTGTTCCTCTCATTCTTAAAGGGTCAAGAATTGGTCTTTCTGATTTAGTGAGATAGTAAGCCTTACCTTTTGGAAACAGAGTCCGCAAAATAGCTTTTAGTACTTTGCATTCAGCTGAGGCTCCTTTTTAAACTGTTGAGTAAATTTAGCTATATGTATAGACATACTCATTTTTTTGTAATTCCTTTTTAACAGATCTTCAGGATTTATTCCACAAGACTGGCCAGGACATGGATGGGAAACTGACCTACCAGGAAATCTGGAACTCCTTAGGTTCTGCTGTGCCAGAACTAGAGACTTTGAGAGCATTTGATTCTGATGGCGATGGAAGATACTCTTTCCTGGAGCTAAGGGTAGCTTTAGGTGTCTAGCCTCGTCAGGCATCTTTTAGAAATGGGTACATACCCAGGACTACCTAATACCTACTCACCTAACACAAACAGCCCATCGATCCTCCAGTCCTCCAAACTACTGTAGCAGACTCATTGCCACCTTTTAACTTGTTTGAAAAAGCTATAAAGAAAAGTTATTTTTTTAAAAAAGAAGGCCATGTTACCTATATGATATTTAGAAATCTATGATTTCCTACAACCAGTAAGATCTTAATTTCAAAATTGCCAGGAAAAAAGTCAAGCCCTCTTTTTTTTTCTCTTTCCTTTTTTTTTTAGGGAAGGAAACCTTATCTTTTAAAACTGGAAAGTGTGTATATAGAGAGAATAAGCCACCTTTTATATTTCACATAAATTTGCCTTAAATTAGCTGCACTTTATACAGACTCAGAAAATGTCTTTCTTTTAAAAGCTAGACCTTTTCTGTTTGTAAATATTTAAAATGAAAGAAAGAATTGTGCATATTTTGTGGGAAGTCGGAAGAATGGTTTGAAACAGGCTGTGAACAAATGACTTGTTATTAAAAATCGCTAATGTTGGTAACAGCTGAAGCTGTGTCCATGTCTCCTTAAGGCACCTCCTTCAGGTGCTGCTGTGGGGTTTGCCTTGGAGGCTGGAGGAATAGATTTGGGGAGGTGACCCTGTAAGGACAGTGCTGCCTCCTGGCTCAGAAAAGTAAGATTCTGGCTGTTTGTTCCTGTCCCCTCAGCTGATCCCAACCTGTGAACCAGAGAAGCCTTGTTGGGGGTTTTTTCACTTTTAATCCTATTTCAGGGTTTATGAGCATAAACAGTTATGCATTGGGGAGCTACATTTTCCCCACTGAGTGAGCTCGATTATCTTCCCCCACCCTCCCACTCAAACCTCTCTTAGCTGTAGCTGGCGGCCGCCTCTGGTGCAGGCTCCATTCTGAATGGCAGGGCTGCGCTCCTCAGCTCACTGTCTCCGCCCGGCTACCCAGGAGGGGCTTTAGGGCATAGCTTTGCCCCTCATTGTGACCAGGAAACTCCTTGACGTTTTACCTGGAGGCCTACCAAGAAGAACGTAGTATGTTCCTCTGTGGGCTAAAGCCAAAGGGGTTGTGAAATGCAGCACATGAAATCACATCAGGTTCCCTTACAGGTGTCAGCTCAGAAGTAGCTAGAGGCATTGTGTCCAGAGGATGCCGAACCATATCAAGTAGGCCTGGAGCAGGGGGGCATCACACGATGGCAGCAAGGTTTTTCAAATCTCTTAACAAGCAAGTGTACTACTCTTCCCTTTAAATACTTCCGTAGGCCTGGTACGAAAGGTCCCAGACCGGAAGGAATCACACGTCTGTGTCACCTGTGTGTGTGCTGTGCTGTTCTTAGACGCAGGCTTTGGGCAACACGAAAGGAAGAATGTCGTGGAACTTAACTGTTCTATATATAGGCCAAGTCAGGGAGAAACTAGAGCTTTCATGGCACAGACTTTAGTAGAGCTTGTTTCCATTTTCACTTCATCCAAGTTCCCCTGTTACCAGGGATGCCATCGAGCACCTTTAAACATTTAAGGGCTGGTTTTTTTCTTTATGTAGTGTTCAGTTTAGTGTTGGCTAACTTTGACTTTTTTTCTGAAAGTATTAACATTTAGTTAAAGCAAGATGAAGTCTTTCCCCATGAATGTGTCTGCTTACCTCATTTGGCTTATGCTTCTCTTTTTAAAAAAAAACAACATTTTTTTGTCTACCTGAGCTATTTCTCTTTCTTGGAAAGGTTAAAATAGAGCATAAAGTTAGCCTGGCACTTTAGGTAACTTGAAGACCACTCTTTTTCTTCTGGCTGCCTTCCTTGCACCTCCCCCCTTTTTAAATATATATACCCTTATAGATTTTGTAACAACCAAATAAAATTCTAGCAATAAATTGAACTATACTGCTATATTTGTATATACTGTACCATAAATAGTATGTCTGTACCTGGAAGGTATTTTTTTGAGAACTGATTTATATGAAATATACTTGAGGGTAATGTAGCTTGCCCATTTTAGTTTCAAATTCTTAATTCATAGGCAGATACTCTGAGGACCGCTTAAGTCTTTGTTGTCTGTACTTTTCTTTTGTATCAGATAGCTACACCTGGAGAAGGCAGTTTTGTTTTTCAGTTTCTCACCTGTTTGTCCCACCTCGAGCTCAGCTGGTTCGCATCATCCTGGAGCTAGCTGGACCGTGCCACTTGCTGTCACATCAGGCAGAGGTCTTCTGACCACACTCTCAGACTGACTACCCTTGCCGTGCTGCTGCCCTAGCTTCCAGGCAGAACGAGGGCATCAGGTTGAGGAGATCCATTGGCTTAAGAGTTTGATGAGCCTATTCTTCAGTGTTTATTTGGGAGTTTTATTTGGAAGTTGTCTGAACTTCCCCAACCTGTGACTTTTGAGCTGTACTCAAGCCTCCTTGCCTCCTATCTCAGCTCTGAGAGGAAGATTGGGTTTTGATGTTTGTTTCGAATACTTTCACCTTTTCACCCTGGCAGCTTCTGCTGAGGCTTTCTTAAGTGACCCAAAGCACAGCTTCTCGGTCCTTCTTTTCTTTTGCCTGTACTGTCTGGGATAATGTTTACTTCAAGAGCCTCCCTATAAATCAGAGGACCAAAAAGGTGTTCTAGGAAGAGAAGAATCAAAGGAATAGAGAACCTGGCTTAGGGATAAGGGTAATGTCCTCTTAAGGGCAGAGAGGGACCTGGCACCTAGGACAGTACACCCTTCACCTGCTGCTGGCTACTTTTCCTGCCAGTGGTGTTTCCTCACTTTATGTTGCTTTGCTAGACGCAACTCCGTTGCCCCCACTTCCCACTGCTGGTCTTGCGGTCACAGTTGAAGACTTTGACTGTGATGGGCTCATACTCATAATGGCCTGCTGTTGAGTTGTTTTTAGTGACAGCTTTTGTTTGCTACACACCTCATTGGCTTACTTACCAACACCAGCTAGATGTGGTCCCTTCTTTCATATCCAAACCAGAACACATTTGGGTATTCCTGAGACTTTATAGAGTGTGTATTGTTTGTTATACGAACCTAACCTACCTTGTTGTTTTCTCATATTAAGAAATGTAAATCTACTTTGCTTTAGTGGAGCTATTTTGGTAATGTATGAGCAATTTTGGTTCTGTTTGGAGAGTGAATTCAAGGTCTCTATGACTTGAGCTTTGCTTACTTCATATCAGTAATACAGCTATTTTAATTTATCTAAATAAAACATTTCCTTTTTCTCCCAGTGTCTGTGATTAAAGGTTCCCCCCTCCCCCGCCATACCTTCAGTTACTAAGAAAACAAAAATCTGCTTTGATCCCTATTTGTATAGACTCTCCTTTTGAAAGCAAGAACTAACAGATGGTGAAGAATCTGCCTTAAGAACTGCAGCATCTAGCCTGAAAGAGTGAAGGCTGCTGCTTGGGCATCTGCAGGGTTGTGGGGGGTGGTAAGGGGAGAGGGAGTCCCTTCCCCTCTCTGTATCAGCCAAGCTCCACTTGGGTCTCCATTGGTGTTTTGCGTTTGGGGGTTTTTTTGGTTTGGTCGGTTAGTTGGGGGGTTTTTTGTTGTTTTTTTGGTTCTTGGAGTTTTTTTTTAAGATTCAGTGGAAGAGCATGTTGACAAGGAATGTTCCACTGCCTTTTTATACAGGGGGTGGGGGGGTGAAGCCCATTCCAAGAGAAAGGTCATATAGGGCCTGGGGCTTTTTCACACACAGAAAAAAAAAAAATGAGAAAAATTACACGTTTGCTAGGGTTCTAGGATTACACACACATAAGCAAACATACACGATCTGGGTGGCTTTTCCCTTCAGGGAAGACATAAAGCTTAGCTCATTTACAAATATGGCCAGATGATTTCCTCATTCCCAAAGTGAAGGGGAAAATTTATATCCCGGGGTGGAACTGGGCTTTCTTTTTTTTTTAAGATTTTATTTATCTGAGAGAGAGCACAAGCAGGGGGAGCAGCAAAGACAGATGGAGAAGCAGGTTCCCTGATCAGCAGGGACTCTGGGCTCAATACCAGGACTCCAGGATCATGACCTGAGCTGAAGGCAGGCTTAACAAACTGAGCCACCCAGGCACCCCTGGGCTTTCTTATCTTCAGAGTGGGACCAAAAGCCAGTATTCTCTCTCCTTTTAGGATTGTTTCCAAAATGCACAAAAATATCCCCTATAATGGGTATTAACTTTTGGAAGGTCCATGGATCCCTTTGATAAAGATTTAAAAAAATTAATTTTCTGTGTAATTTTAGAGGGTTCAATGACCTGCCCTCCTCCTAAGCCAATTCATGGACCAAGTTAATTATGCCCTGCAGACATGCACGTGCACACACAAACACAAAACATTTGCAAAGTGTTTTCTAACAAGACTTATCATTAGGGAAGGGACACCATGGTGTATGCTGAGAAGACCAAGAACTTTGATGCCAGGCAGATGTAAATTTGAGACCTAGCTCTGCAGTATAAAAACAATATGCCCTTGGAACCTGTCTCCTCATTTATGAGTGGAGGATTGTGAGGTCCATTTGGCAGTTTTCTTGTATTAGACATAATGTAGAGACGACCATAAAAGAACTCTGCATCATCAATATTAATAAAGAATGCAATTCAGCCAGCAATGCAGTGTGGCTCACGGATCTCACAATGACTTGTTTTGCGTGTGACACGGTCACTGTGAATTGCCATGGCTCATGCACCCCCAACAGCTCTCACTCTTGTGGCAGCTGTGCTAAATGTCCCACAGACCAGCAGTGCCACTGGGTACCTGGCCCATGGTCTGGCATGCGTTTTTGGTCTTAAAATACTGAATAGAGGGATGTTGAGCTCATGTTTACTGATTCTCTGTGTCTCCCCACAGCCAACCCTCTGGTTCCCGTTTATGACCTTCATTCAGCTCTTTTTGCAAAGTGCCCCCATCAAACGGGAAGGACATTGCCCTCCTAAGGACAAATGAGACACAAGGGAGCCTTGGGCTTTTTCTCAGTCTTTCATAATGTGACATCCAGATGGGCTCTGGCCTCTGTGTCAATACCACCTTCCTGGGGTTAGCTCCATTTTCCTGCTCTGCCCCTGATACCTCCAGCTCCCACCCTCAGTGAGAGGAAGCTATAATTCTGAAGCAAAAGGCTTGGCACTGAAGCAGTGGTCTCCATGGGCCATAGTGGGGAGGGAATGGAAGTGGACGTTCCTTTCAGGACAAGTGTCCAAAGGGTAGGAGACTGAGTGGTTCAGCACTGGGGGCAGGTTGCACAGGGAAAGGGCAAAGGGCACCTCCTGGAAGACGGGAACTGGGACTGGGGAGCTGGTGTGGGACCGCAGCATTGGCGAAGGTAGGGGCTGCAGCGGAGGTCGTAGCGGGGCAGGGGCCTCCACCTTGGGGCTGCTGTCTTGGGCGGCAGAGTTCCTGCCCGCCGGTATGTCCAAATCCCATAGAGGATCTGCATTCTGGACCTCAGTCTCGGTCTTGGTGACAGCAGGGGGAGGGCCCGTGTTGATGGCTGTGTTCATGCCATAATGCCGACGCTTGTTAATCCAGTACAACAGCGGGCTGTAGGTGAACGTGGCGGCCCTCATCACCTCCACCCACTCCTGGGCACGCTCTTCCCGCCGCAAGTTCTTCCTCCAGTGCAGAAAGAGAATGCAGCCGCCGGTTACCACAGAACACAGCCCCAGGAATCCGAAGTACAGTGAGACCCACACTGAGGCAAGAAAGAATAAGAGGCAAGCTGGTTGATAGCTCTAACTTGGGGCCTGAGCTATTTCTCATTCCTCTCCCTATCCCATTCATCAATTATCCCATCCTCTTAACTACTTTCTCCATTCCCCCCTTCCCTCCTCATTGACTTGCCTCATCAATCTCTTATTCAGTCAACGCTAGATTTCCAGGGAGCTTAAGAGGCCACCTTTAGCCCTTTACTGATCAGGAAAGCTAGGTCTAGAGGGGCCGTGACCTGCCCAGACTTGGTCAAGCCTCTTGTTCCCAACCCTGGACCCATCCAATCCATCTGATGAGAAGCCTTACTAAAGGCAAAACCCGTCAAGGAAGTAAGTTTATAGGGGACGGGGACACCAGTGTCCCATCCCATTCCACCATACCCCTTATCCATTCAGCTGTCATGGTCCTAGGGAATTCATTGTACCCTCTCTGGTTCAGCAGAGAAACATCTCTGCCCCCAATCCCTAGTTTTCTAGAGGAAAGTATAGCCTAACTGCTTAGCACTCTTCCATATAGGCCACCACCCATCCACGTAAAAGGTCTTCCCTGAGTGTCTGCCCCACACTAAGGGCACAAGGCAAGAGGCAGGGACTGGAAGGGCATTTACCACCAGGGAGGCTCAGGTCCTCCTGCTGGGAATCCATAAGGTCGAGTCTTGGTCCCCAGCTGACGGCTCTGGGGAGAGGGAGCTCACCTACCCGTCTGCCCAGCCAATAGAAGGCCCTGGAATGCTTAGTCCCATTGTTCCCTAAAGGTGAGGTCACTGGGTTCTGAGCATTAAACATTCTAGAGGCAGTGCTTGTGAAGTCTTGGGTTGATGGAAGGAAGGGACTCTATCCAATGGTATCTCGTAGGCCTAGTGTGTGTCTCTGCTGCTAGGGACTGACCTACCCACTGAATTGTCTGCCCCCCACCTCTTATGGTAAACCCACAGAGAAGCCCCCAGGTGTCCCAGGGGTCTATCCATGTTTCTGGGCTTCAAGAAACAGTTGATGGTGGGCGCCTGGGTGGCTCAGTTGGTTAAGAAACAGTTGATGGATACCTGTCGCCAGGGAGGAATGGGGCAGGGAGCATACACAGCTTTGGGCAGCCTTGCCTTCAAGACCTTTTTTTTAAGGTTTTATTTATTTGAAAGAGAGAGAGAGCACAAGCCGGGGGGGAGTGGCAGGCAGAGGGAGAAGCAGACTCCCCGCTAAGCAGGGAGCCCGATGCGGGGCTCCATCCCAGGACCCTGGGATCATGACCTGAACCAAAGGCAGACACTTAACTGACTGAGCCACCCAGGCGCCCTGCCCTCAAGACTTCTATAACCTTTCTAACTAACAAGTGTTAGCAAGTGTTTCCTGGGCATCAGGCCCTGTAGGAGTGCCCCACCATCCCAGCCCTACATCTCTTTCCAGCCTCACTGTCCTCTGTATCCTTCACACACCTTGCCCTCTGACCAGGCCAGACTCTGGAACAGACCCAGCCTATTCACATCTCTAGAGTTTTGCTCACACTGCTCCTCCACCTAGGAGTGCCTTTCCCACTTCCCTGGACTGAACAGCTACTTATCCTTCAAGGCCCAGTTCAGTTACCCTGACTCCGTGACAGTTGTTTCTGTTGGCTTCCCCAAATCCCATCATGTCCAGTTTGAAGGGACCTAGACAGTTGTGTGGTCCAGCTCCAGTCAGATGCTTGAGCCCTGGGGGTAGATGTCCCCCACCCAGCAGCCAGCGCTGCAGGACTCACCTGAGTGTGACGTGCCACACCTCCTGGGGCAGCTCAGTTAGAAAGCCCTTCCCTAATGAAGCCCAAGTCTGCCTTCCTGAGGTTGTACCCCTGGGCCTAGCTCAGCTACTGGCGCCATTTAATTACTTCCCCCTTTATCACCCCACCCCCCCACCGATGTGTGACTGGGGACACTATTCAGCTCAGATTTCCCTCCAGGTTCCCCTTACACTCGGCTCTCCTATCTCACTTGTCCACAAGTAGGGCAAGCATGCTCCTGTATCAAGGCCTTTGCACTCCCTGTTCCCTCAATCTGGACGGCCCTTCTCCCAGATACCCAGACAGATGATTCCCTCATTTCCATCGGCATTCTGCTCAAGGGTCCCCGTATCTCTCTCTTAGCCTGCTTTGTTTTTCTGCATAGCATATATCCTCACATAACATTACAATCGACCCTGGAACAACATGGAGATTAGGGACTATGACCCCTGCACAGGTGAAAATCCATCTGCAACTTTTGACTCCCCCAAACTTAACTACTAATAGCCTATTGTTGACCAGCAACCTTACCAATAACAGAAATTGTTGATAAACACATATTATAGGGGCGCCTGGGTGACTCAGTCGGTTAAGCGTCTGCCTTTGGCTCAGGTCATTGGGATCGAGCCCCGTGTCAGGCTCTCTGCTCAGCTGGAAGCCTGCTTCTGCCTGACACTCTGCCTGCTTGTGCTTGCGTGCACTCTCTGTCAAAGAAATAAATAAAATCGGGGCGCCTGGGTGGCTCAGTTGTTTAAGCGACTGCCTTCGGCTCAGGTCATGATCCTGGAGTCCCGGAATCGAGTCCTGCATCGGGCTCCCTGCTCAGCGGGGAGTCTGCTTCTCCCTCTGACTCTCCCCCTCTCATGCTCTCTATCACTCTCTCTCTCAATAAATAAATAAAAATCTTTAAAAAAAAAAAAAGAAAGAAAATCTTTAAAAAAAAAAACCCCACATACTATGCATATATAAATTATTATATTTTTTTTAGATTTATTTATTTGAGAGAGTGCGTGCACACAAGAGGGGGGAGAGGGGCAGAGGAAGAGAGACTCAGACAGACTCCGTGCTGAGCATGGAGTCCGACAGGGGCTCAATCCCAGGACCCTGAGATCATGACCTGAGCCAAAACTAAGAGTCAGACGCTCGACCAACTGAGCCACCCAGGCGCCCCCATATACCGTATTCTTACAAATTAAGTAAGCTAGAGAAAAGAAAAATGTTAAGGAAATCATAAGAGAAAACACATTAACAGTGTTGTAAAAAATCCACATGTAAGTGGACCTGGGCATTTGAAACCAGTGTTGTTCAAGGGTCAACTGTTTGTTATCTCTCATCCCACTAGAATGTAAGATCCATGAATTAGTAAACAAGGAAATAAATACCTAAGAATCGTCATAACTGCTATGAAGAAAACAAAATAAGGTAATGGGATAAAGAATATAAACGGATAGCATGCATCAAGAAAAGTCCCTTTGAGGTGCCGACTTATGAACTGAGCCATAAATGATGAGGAGGCCGCCACATGCAGATCCAAGCAGAGGGATCATCAGCCAGTGCAAGGATCCTGAGGCAGGTATAGGTCAGCACACTCGAAGGACTTACTAATCTCCGAGTCCACCACAGGCCAGGGCCTAGGACCAACCCCCATGAGTGCAGGCTGGACTGAGAAGAGTTGAAGGCTCTGGCCCTACCCCGGAGGAGTCCACCATTCACGAGGGGTTTCTACCACGTAAGACCCAGACAGGAAGGACTTCCACGAAGGCAAACTGATCATGCCATTGTGGTGGGCTTGCCCCAGGGCTGGCCCTCTATGGTGGGAGAAGGTGAGACGTAGAGATGTAGATGTCACTGTGTCTGACCCCAGTAATTCCCGCTTGGTTCAAGGGGATGAAGAAGATGGTGGCAGAGCATTACAAGGATCAAAAACAGCCAAAATCAAGACTTGTTAGGACAGACCCAGGTGTCTCTCTGGAGAGGAGGTTTGGCTGGAGTTCAAGGTGGATGTCAGGAAGCAGAGGGAGTGGAGGAGACGGAGCGCAGAGGCTGCTGGACCCGAGCGGGAAGGCGTGGAGCCGGGCAGGCTCGGGGGAGGCGACGGGCCGCGGCACCCCGCGGGCCGTGCGAGCGGCGGAACGCGCGGCTCCGGGGCCGAGCCGCGAGCCCCCCTCCTACCCGCCCCGCCTCGCCTTCCCCAGAGCCCGGAACCTTCCGCGCGCGGAACCTCGGTGCCGGAGCCGGGGCGCAGCGGACCCGGAGCGCGATGGAGCAGGCGCGCGGGCCGCGGGCTGAGGCCGACGCGCCGGAGGAGGAGGAGGAGGAGGAGGAGGAGGGGGCGGCCATGGCTGCCGTGGCGGCGGCGGCGGGTGGCACGGGCCCGGCCGTGTTGCAGGTGGCCGGTCTGTACCGGGGACTGTGCGCCGTGCGCAGCCGCGCCCTAGGCCTGGGGCTCGTGTCCCCCGCGCAGCTGCGCGTGTTCCCGGTGCGCCGCGGCTCTGGCGGGCCCGCGGGGGGCGCCGACGGCAGCGGGGTCGGGGCCGAGCTCGAGGCCAACCCCTTCTACGACCGCTACCGGGACAAGATCCAGCAGCTGCGCAGGTGCGGACCCCGGCCGACCGGCGGCGGGCGGGGAGGGGGGCGCGCGGCCCACGTTTCTGGTGGATCCGACGCCTTCAGTGCTTAGAACAACCCCGCGACGTGGGGCCCGGTTACTCTCCGCACTCTGTAGATGATGTGTCTGTGGGCTCAGAGGAGCAAGGTGACTTGCTAACATCACACAGCTCGTCTCAGAAATGAGTGTCTGCAAAGTCCTGCCTCTTCCCCAAGTTGCCTTTCCTTGTGCTCTAGTTCTCAAAACGCTGAGGTGGAATCCTGTGTTGGCCCTGATTACAGAAACGGGAACATAGAACCTTCCAGAGAAGGGACTTGACTTGCTCAAGGTCACATATTGAGTCACTGAGGCCTGGCCTAGAGCTCGGGTTCCTAGGCTTCTAGCTACAGCCCTGACTACAAGGAAAGGAGGTTGGGGGAGGGAGCAGGACGTCAAAGACTAATGGAGTCACAGATGGATCATCCGTTGAACCAACCCTGTCATTAGGAGGAGGAAACAGAATCAGAGAGTGGCGGCGACCTGCCAGAGGTCACACAGCTGGTTGGGATTCATCTGATTTGGGATCCAGGGCTCCTAACACTACCCCTCAGCTTCCAGATAAAAGGACTTGGAGATAAGAGGCTTGAGGTGGGTGCAAGGGGACCAAGGGAGGGTCTGAAGTGTTAAAGTGGAAAGAGCTGAAGGAGATGAAAGGTGAAAATTAGAGGGGCTTGGGAGAGAGTCTGGCAGGGTAGGCAGGCAGTTGTCTTAGAAGGGTAACCAAAAACTGCATACTGTAACTTCTTTGAGTTCTGTCTCCTCTCCACTTCCATGGCCTTAATGTCCTCCTCCAGCATCTTCTGGACTCTTGCAGTCATCCTCTAGCTATTCTTCCCCACTTCCACCCCAGTCCATCTCACTGCTGCTGTGGTGATCTTTCTTCCCTTTTTGAAAAAACTGACAGAATAAAGGAATGAGTATTTTTTGCCCTCTTTCCAGCAGCATTCAAATATACTCACTCGAGGATTTCTCTTCTTTAAAAACTTTCCTTGACCTACATTCCCCTCCAGACTTTTCTCATGGATCCCTTTCACAGGCAGCATCTTAGGAGAGCTGTCTGCGCATACTCTGAATACTTTACAGTTGCCATTCATTCTTACTCATGAACCAACTAATGGCTGGTTTTACTCTCCTTCCCCACCAGATCATTCCCATCAATATTTACACATACTGCTGTCTCAAAGAGTGAGCGTTCCAAAGCACCCTCACTGACTCTAGATAATCTCCATATTCCTTAGTGTTCCACACAAGGTTTTCATGCTGTAGCATCTGTCAGTCTCTCTATATTCACTAAAACCTAGGCCCTTGGAGCACCAGACACAAGTTTGGTGTGAGCCAATAGCAGGACAAGGCTGTGTGCCCTCTTGACTCCTTCAGCCTAGTATCTAGCTTTTTGCATCACACTTTGCACTGGTGAATTGGGAGTATTTGATCTAGCTGCAGGCCCACTATATCTAGAATGTGGACAAACTGGAGGGTGTCCAGAGAGCAGGTTTATAGTGAGGAAATACTCACAAATCACATATGAAGAGGGGCCAAAAGAACTAAGGAAATTCAACTTACAGAAAACTTTAGGGGGTGACATAATAGCAATTTCCAAGTACTCAAATAAAAGGGATTAGACATTTTTTCTTGTTCCTGAGTGTGAAAGATATAGATGGATAGATTTAGGCTCAGAATGTTTTAATAATGAAAGATGTCCAAAGTGGGAATGCACAGACTCCAATGCCTAGGCCGCCTCTCACTCCATCCACTCAGCATGGCAGGTGCAGGTGTGACTGGATGCTTGCAGCACTAACCCTGGTCCTGGCATTTGCAGCCCCAGCAGGTGCCACACCCCACAGGACAGGCCCCCTGGAGTGACTCCGCACTGAGTACTGGCCTGCTATGGAGGGGAGGAAGAAGATCTGCCCATGTAATGGCATGAAGGGAGTAGTGTTTAATGTCTCCTCCGGAACTGAGTCTTATGAAAGAGGGGCCCCGTACAATGTCTTGATCAGGAAGCACTCCACCAGAGAAGTGATCAGGATGTCCTTGAATCCTGCAGACCACACCTGTGACACTACAGGTCTCATGGCCCAGGAGCTGTAATCCCTGTATGATGTCTTCATCAAAGTGTACAGTGCCAAATATCACATCGTTGGCTACACAGCCTGAAGAATTCTTAACAAGGATGACAGCCCCAACCTGGACTTCAGGCCTGAAGACCAGCTCATTTTGACATGAAGGACAGGTTCTGATGTTTCGTCTACAGGAGCAAGTTCTTTGGAGAGAGAGTCAGGGAGAAACTCAGGTGCTAAATCTTTTCCTACAAACTATGCGGTGTAAAGCCTCTGAATCACCTGCATCTGAATAAACAGATGTTTAACCTTTTTGTGGGGTGAATAAGATGTCCAAGAACTAGATGTGTTCAAGTAAAAGCTTGACACTCACTGGGAGTGCTGTTGGATTCCTGCCTGAGTAGGATGATCAAGCAAGATGACTTCAGAGTCCCCTTCCCATCTTGAGGATTTGAATTCCAAGTACCCAGAGTATAAGTACCTGTGGGACCAAGGTCTGCATCACCCTAGGAAATAGCATGTTACACAGGACCCTTGAAGATTAACAGTAGTTAAATAACTGGATTTCTTTTTCCACTTTCTTGATTTATAGGCAAATCCTTCAGCCTTTGAATGCCTGTGTCCTCTCTCTCTGGAAGTGCAGCATGATGCTTTGTTATTTTGAAATTCAGAAAGTCCCAAGTGGTTTCACTTTTGGTTTACCTTTAATCAGGTCTGATCCAGCTGTTTTTGAATCCCGACTGGAAAAGCGCATGGAGTTTCGGAAGCAGCCGGTGGGACACTCCAGGCAAGGTGACTTTATCAAATGTGTAGAACAGAAGGTAAGACCTGCCCCCTCTTTGTGTTATTGGCTACCAGTGTGCTGGTGAGCCCACCAGCCCTATCCTGGGAGTGGGCTCACTGATGGGTCAGCTGGATGAACTGAATGTAGCCTCTCTCTACACAGCTCAGTCTCCATCCATAAATGGTATCCTGCTCTTTCTGGCGAAGTACTGTGGTCATGGTAGAGACATAGAGAGATGAAAAAGGCAGTCCATGCTCCTGGGGGATGTGGTAGAATGGTCAAGGCAAACATACCTGGAAGCGGGCTGTAGAGATCCGGGACAAAAAAGTGCTTAAAAGCTGCTCTTATCCTTAAACAAGAATCAAAGCTGGGGAAAAGCATGTTGAAATCTAATACAGTGCTTTTCAAACTTTCTGATCATGATCCACAGTGAGAAATATATTTTACACTGTAGTTCAGTACATACACATGTGTATGATTATAACTGAAGCAGAGTTTTTACAAAACAATGCTTATTTTTACTACATGCAATGCACTTTTTTTTCTTTTAAAAAAAACTTTGGCCACAGTCCAATAAATTGATTTCACAACCTGTGATTTGAAAAATACTAACCTAGGGTGGTACACAGAGCAAATTGGAGTAGGAGTGGCTAATACCAGGAAGGATATGCAGTAATCATGTGTGGGCTGTTTGGGCCTGAAATAACATACAGTGGAAAATTGGGATTCTACATTGTGTTTAGGATGAAAGATATTTATTTAATTTGGGCAGTAACTTTTTTTGCCTTGGGTATTCTAAATTTTAAGAGAATCCACTTGGTCTTTTAATCACTGTTTGAGTTCATAAGAACAAAAGCAAGGCACTGGGTTAATCATTACAAGGTTGGGGAGCAAATTCAACCTCCTATGACACATAGTTTACAACTTTATGTGAACAAACAAGTCTCTACTACAAATATTTTAACAAATGTAGTTTCCTATAGTAAACATTTATAGTGCCAAGGTTACAAATCAGTAGCTCTTGGAAATATTACTATATTAGAAACTTTAAGTATGACATTGGAAAGCTCTTTGCCCCCTTTTGTAAACAGACTTAGAAATTCAACTTCATGATGACAAGATGCAAACATAAGTCAGGATGGAGCTTAAATTATGACAACGCTTGGGTAAATAATGACTTATTGTCTTTCTTATCTAGCTAGATAGAAGGGGGCTAATGACTCTATTCACAAAGCCTTTTCTTTGCTCTGAGTCATTGGCTCCCTACCACATGAGACCCAACATCTCCCCGCCTTTTTTTAAAGGTTTTATTTATTTATTTGAGAGAGAAAGAGAGCACAAGAGCGGAATGAGGGGCAGAGGGAGAAGCAGACTCCCTGCTGAACAGGGAGCCCGACGCGGGGCTTGATCCCGAGACTCGGGGATTATGACCTGTGCCAAAGTCAGAAGCTTAACTGACTAAGCCACCCAGGAGCCTTCCAACATCCCCTTTTTGTAAAAAATATTTTTAATTCTCCATTTTGTACCCTGAAATGAAATTTAGACAATGTAACCCACTAGTAGACATAATTTCGGAGGGGGGGGCATCAATATAATGCCCTAGCTGTCATATGAAGGAAAGAACTTTTTTTTAAGATTTATTTATTTATTTATTTTATTAGAGCATGAGCTGGGGAGGTGCAGAGGAACACGGAAAAACAGACTCCCCACTGAATGCGGAGCCCAACACAGGGCTTGATCCCAGGACCCCAAGATAATGACCTGAACCGAAGTCAGATGCTGAGCTGACTGAGCCACCCAGGCACCTCAAAAACTTTTTTAAGATTTATTTATTTATTTGAGAGAAGAGAGTGTGCACTGTGCTTGAGTGCATGTAAGAATGAAGGGAGGGGCAGAGGGAGAGAATCTTCAAGCAGACTCCCTACTGAGCGTGGAGCCCTGATGTGGAGCTCATGCAGGGCTCAATCTCACAACCCATGAGGTCATGACCAGAGCTGAAACCAACTGAGCCACCCAGATGTCCCAAGGAAAGAACTTTTTAATAAAATACTTATTTAGTAGATGATATGAATGAAATTTCTAAAATGAATGAATGATATAAATGAAATTTTTACGAGTGAACTTTAGTATATAAGTTCTTCAGCACAACTATGCTGTGAAACCTAATGCAGTCATCAGAGTCTCTCACCTATATGTGAAATCACCATGAATATATAAGCAGCAAATACTGACTGGTATAGGGGTGTTGTATTAGTACTTTTAAAAACTCCCAGACCGTGAGCGGTATTGTTATCAGTGATCCTCATGAGATTCCACAATGTGCAGCCTTCTTTTAAGTTATATACTAGTTGCATTTCTAGAAAACTCAGTGTTTGTTAAAGCCATGTTAAAAGAAAGAAAAAGAGGGACGCCTGGGTGGCTCAATCATTAAGCACCTGCCTTCAGCTCAGGTCGTGATCCCAGCGTCCTGAGATCGACTATCTCCAGCCCGCTTCTCCCTCTCCAGCTCCCCCGTGCTTGTGTTCCCTCTGCCGCTCTCTCTCTCTGTCAAGTAAATAAATAAAATCTAAAAAATAAAAAAGAAAAGGTGAAGACAGCTCTGCAAATGGAGGGTTTCATTTGTTTTGTTTTCATAGTGCACCTGGAAGTGAATGGTGTGAAAATGAAATCAGTTCTCTTTTTTCTGGAAAGTTTACCTGTGAAGGACAGACTACATTAGGATGCTGCCACTGTGTAGGGATATGACCAAAAAGACAAGGGTGTATCCAACAGATTTTTCTATACCAGACTTTGTCTAATTTGTTCGTACCAGTTCTGTGGGCATCATTTATGAAAGGTTTGGATTCCTTGAAGCACAGAATAACAAAAGACAGGATTTTATGCAGACGGTGTTTTTTAGCCTCAGAATCCCAGGTATAGATTGTACTCCTGAAAGGAATGGACTTGAACTGAGAAATTGAGTGAGAGACTTAGAACCAACCCATCCCTATTATCAGAAACCTCATAATAGGATTTCTTGACTGTGGCCTTTATCCGAGATAGTAGGCTAGGAGAAGAAATAATCACTAATTTGATAGAGGGAATATTAAGATTGAGTGCTGGAAAAGACCAGCCTGGTGAGGATGCCTGCCATCAGAAGTGTGTCACAGATGAGAAGCAGCCTTTGAAAATACATTTTTCCATTGCTTACCTCCTTTACGGCTCACCAAGGAGCAGATCAGAGAGCAGAGCACAGGAAACCCAAGCAGGCCTCATTCTGGGAGGGAGTCCCTCATATCCATAGTGGCAGGTAAGGATATGGTCTCTAAGTACCGGTAGGTGGTAGTTACTAACAAATCTTTTCTCATCTCTGTATCTCAAAAGCTTAGTCACAAAAGTTGTCTCACAAACAATAACTCATAGAACAGTGTGTACAGTTACTATGTAGAATGGAGAAAAGTGAGTTTTCAAGCGTCTGATTACTAAATGAGATATTGTACACTTCACTAGTATGGTGGTCTTTTTCTTATGAGTAAGGTACAGATAAATGCCCTGTCTCATCATGTATTTCAGACAGACACCCTGGGGAAACAGCCTGTGAGCAGAGGATTCTCTAAGGACAAGGTAGGTTTCTAATTAAAGATCTAAGTCTGAAGTCATATGGAACATCTATAACAAGAGGCTGCAAATTTGAACATACTTACTGTGGTTCTGTGATTTTGTGATTTTTTTTCCAACTATGGAGATGAAAAATATTTCTATGAATTTTTATGTCCTTGATACAACCTCTAGCATAGTGTGGGTCCTGGGGCTGCTGGAGGAAATATGAGGGAAATCCTGGTGATATGCTTTCTTTCTATAAGAAGTAGTTTTAAAAAATCAAAGCATGTTTACTCATTTAATTTGCAAATAAGGAGCCACCCCTAGTAGAATAGCAGTTAAAGGTGACAACCAGATTTTCTCTTCTTACCAGCTGCAAAATGCTGCAGTGCTCATTAGTGAGGGTAAAGCATTTAGAAAGTACTTTTAGATACTCCCCAGGAATAGCACTGTGAAAACCTGCCTGGGCTTAGGGGTTCACTTCTCTGAGCATACAGGTTTTCTTATACATGTTCTGTACTTATTGAAGATCTGCTCCACTGTCCTGACCTGTTGCTTCCCACAAGACTTACAGATAGTTAAGCTGTTGTAATTTTCTTAATTGTGGATGTTAATTGCCTTTTATTTTCTCATTCAGACTCTCAGTTCAATCTTTAACATTGAGATGGTGAAAGACAAAACTGCAGAAGAAATAAGACAGGTAATAAATGAAAATGGGCTGGCATACTTGATGAAAACATGTGCTCTGTGAGCCAAATCTGAAAGTAGAAAGGAGCATACATTTCTTGATACCTCTTTTTAGCCAAAATGAAAGGTGGTTACAGAAAGCAAAAGTGATCAGTTACATGAAACATAATGGCATAAGAAAGCTTGTCTTTCTTGATTTTACTCCTATATGTCTAATCAACTCACATTACCCTCTTCTGTTTCATTCCTGTTGCCCACGTCTTATTTAAAATCATCAGTACTATGTTCTGGCTTACTGTACTACCTATCTAAATAGGTTTCCCTGCTCTCATTCCTCCCCGCTCCTCCACCTCTCATAGCCTTACCAGTTGAATCCTCTTAAAGTTCTGCTTTCATTATGAAAAAGCATAGTGTATTCGTTAAGAACGCAGACTCTAGGGTGCCTGGGTGGCTCATTCGGTTGAGCGTTTGCCTTCGGCTCAGGTCATGATCCCAGGGTCCTGGGATCGAGCCCCGAGTCGGGCTCCCTGCTCAGTGGGGAGCTTGCTTCTTCCTCTCCCGCTCGCTGTGCTTGTGTTCTCTCTCTGTTTCTGTCAAATAAATAAATTAAATCTTTAAAAAATAAAAAAAAAGAACACGGACTCTAGAGCCAAGCCACCAGTTTTAAGTCCTAGCTCTGCCACTTACTGTGTGAATGACTTTGATAAGTTAGTTAACCTCTCTGAGCCTTAGTTTCCCTCTCTGTAAAGTGGAGATAATAATACTAATAGTAGTATTAATAGTACTTATCTCATAGTAGTAATAACAGTACTTACAGAGTTCTTTGGGGAATTAAATGAGTTCATATTTGTAAAGCACATAGAACAGTGCCTGGCACAGAGTAAGTGCTACATTTGTGTTTTTAAATAAATGAATAGAAATAAATATTATGTCAGTGACCTGCTTGCAAATGTTCAGTGACTTCCTGTATTCCTTTGCTTGCCATTCAGAGTCCTCTGTTGTTATAGGACCTTCTTCTGGAAGTTTTCTGGACACCTTCCTTCAGAGCACTCATGATCTATCCTACCTGTTTGGTCATTCCATACACCTTGATTTGCATTGCTATTTACATTTTCATGTCTGTGATTCTTTTCTCTCTAATTAGACTATAATAAGCTATTTATTGGCATTTCTTATAATTCCGTGAATTATTTTAGGTATATTGAGAAAATCAAAATAATAATAAAAGCAGTAGACTATATGTCAGGTACTGTACTTAGTGATTCACATGCACTATTTCATTAAATTCTCATAACTACCTTGAAGTGTAGGTGCTATTATTTCCAATTTACAACTGAGGAAACTGTAATTTCAAGAGATTAAGTAACTTAGGGTAGAGCTGGAACTCAAACCCATGTCTGTTTGACTCTGCATCCTGTTCCCTATGGGAAGTTGTGCCAATTGCCATGAGTTTCCTTTGGGTGCTGTATCATTTGTTTCAGCAAAAGCATTTATTAAATACCTATTAAATGTCAGGTTGTATGCAAGACATGGAAATAAATGAGAGAATCCCCTACTCTCAAGGAGTTTTAGCCTAGTAGAAGGACAGACACAGACGAGAACAGCACAAGGTTCTAACTTGTGTTAATAGAGGCTTATGCAAAGTCTCTAGGAGACCTCAAACTGTGTCTTTGGGAAGAGATGCCAATAGAAAGCAGACACCAAGCATACTCTTTAGGGGAGAGAGAAGCCAGGCCCAGGAGGCTTGATATTCATATGATGAATATCATTTAGACCTATAATTTTGGACATAAATTTGTGTTTGTTAAAATAATTTGAGTAACCAAGGTCAGTTATGTTAAGAAACATCTATCTGTCTATAAATTTCAGTGTTGATTCATGAACTATCTACTAGTATAGATTAAATAAAAATAGCAGTATATGCTGTCGTTAAAATGAAAAGACCGTGTCTGACATTAAAAAAAAAAAAAAGGCAAAGCAACCTTGGGCTGCATTGATAATGATTTGCCCAGGTCCTGGGAGGTAATAGTCCTCCTGTACCCTGTGTTAGTTAGATTATACTTTGATTAGTATCTTCAGTTAGGGGGCCCCCCTCCATTCTTAATGAAAATGTTGACAAAGCAGAGCATCTCTAAAGGAGGGTGGTCCTGTTCTTCAAAAGCTCGCTCAGGTGTCACCTTGGCTGTGATGCCTTCCCTGCATTCTATGCCTTTGCTAGTGCTGTCATTCTCTGCTTAGAATGTGTCTCTTCTGTCCTACCTGTTTATCTTCCTAGCCTCCTTGTTCACCTGGCTAACTCCTGATCATTCTTCAGGATACAGTTCAAGTATCCCCTCGTCTGACACTCATTCCCTAACTTGGGTTAAGTGCCTCTTTGTTCCCCTCAGAGCACCTTGGCTCTGGTTTGCATTGTAATTCTCTTGTGCTAGGCACAAACCTATGTTTCAACTAGTTCTCACAATAATCCTGTTAGGTTGATATTATTGCTATTTTACTGATGATTATTTTGGTGTTATTTAGTGATTTTCAGTAATTTGCCTCAAGTAGCATGGTCGGCAAATGATTGGAGCTGGAATTTGCATCCAGGTCCACCTGACTTCAGACACTGGGTTCTGAATGACTGATGTTCTGGCTGTCTTGAGAAGCCCACAGTTGGCTGAGGAATATGGGTTTTGGGAAGGAAAAGAGAAGGTATGAGAAAAGAACATGTCTGTTGCATACAGGCACGTCTTGAGAGAAATGATTCACAAGGTCATGGAATCCATTTGTCTGACAGGAATTTGTTATTAAGAGTTACAGTTTAATCATCTAGAAGAGTAGATGGTATTAAATCTTTTTTGTAATCATGTGCTAGTAATAAAAGCATTACATTGAGTTTTCTTCCTTGTTATCAAATAGCATGTTACTCTGAGCAATAAAAGCTGTCACCATTTCTTGGCACAGGTTCAAAAGATTACCCACATGTCACAGACACCCTCTCTTTTTCGTACAGATTTGGCAGCAGTATTTTGCAGCAAAAGATACAGTCTACGCAGTTATTCCTGTAAGTAGCTTGGAGGGGGAAATGGAAGTGTTATGGCATGAAGGTCAGGGCTCTAACCTTAGCAGGCAGTTACCTTTACTTTTTCTATGTTTATTGCCTCTTGAGAACTTACATTTATCACTCTGAGGGTTTTTATTATGTACTAAGCACCAAAGATTGGAAGCTCCATATGATATATTTATGGCGCTTGTTTTCCCTCTTTCTGGTTTAGCAATGTCTCTTTTACTCAAGTCTCTGACAAGGGAGCATGTAAGTGTAAGTCATGTTGCTGAGCAATTTCCAAATGTGTTTTACTTCTTTTTGGTGTTTTCCAACCATACAGTTGGAATTTCAGACAGGGCCTCTAGCATAGCTTTCTTCCCCTTTTGTCTATAAGTGACCTATTACTGAGCTGACTTAGAGCTTCCTCCTAGGCTTTTTCTGGCATTTTCCCTTAGTAAGTGGCATTTTCTGTCTTGGAGATAGTCATTGGCCACTCTTGACCATTGAGGTTTGTGACTGGGAAGGGGTGCTGCTGGCTTCTTCTAGTTTAATGTCCTCACACTGACTTCTGCATAAGAAAGCTTTTGATGTACTGGGTTATCAGCTAGTTCTTTAATTGTTCTTCTTTCCCTGAAGAGAAAGCCATTTAGGTTAAGTTTACATCAAGCACTGAGTTTGCATGTGTGAGTTTAAGATTAAGGAGGAAAACTCAGAGACAGAAAAGTCAAGCCGGGTCTTTTGCTTGCCCTGAGAGTACTGCTACCCCACCTGGTACACACATCGACCCTTGCCCTTGAAGAGTTCAATGGCCAAAAGGATCTGCACCTTTTGTGATGTTTTAGATCTGTAATACCGACTCATTGTCTAAACAGGCCTTCTTGCTTTCTCTTAGACAGTCTCAGTGGCCTGAAGTCTCTGACACTTGGCAGAGTGCCTTGCAGAGTTTGGAGTATCCACTCTTCACATCTAATTCTGACATTGAGCAGCCAAACACACACCCGGTTTTTCTCTCTGTCGTAAGAGGGAGTTGTAAATGATAGAATATTTTTGGTTGTATTTTAGTCCTAGAGTTCAGTCTTGGTGAATTTAAATATGATTGCAGCCTCAAGTTTTCTTGTTTTGAATTTTATTCTTTTCTAACCTACAGAAAGAGAAGTTTGACTTGATCTGGACCCGGGCTCAGTCCTGTCCAACAGTAAGTTTCCAGTGACCAGATGAGGATTGCTTATCAGTGCTGCCAAACAAGGATGTTTTCTAACCTATCTCTTCATACTCCATACTATCTCATGTGTTATAGCGCTCTGTTTATTTAACAAAGGTGCTTATGTGTTGACTGTACTGATAAGTGAGATTTTCAGCCATAAGGAATCATGTGGGTTTGTCCCAGTAAGTGTGTCAGGCCCTTTAGCTTTCTGACATGGTGCAGCCCTTTCTGATTTGGATCTCTGTCAGTACAAGTGAACATGGGAGGCAACACCTGAACCCTTCACATTTTCACCCTCCTTTAAGTTACCGTTTTATTGCCAGTTTCTTTTCCGTTTTGGCCATGCTATTCTGCTTGTGTGTGCCTAAGGAATGATGAATTTGTTGGAGTCATGAGCTGCCAGAAGACCCAAGCGAAAGGGAATTGGTGAGGTGAACCAGCTGACTTGGTGTCAGTAATAATTTCTAATAATTTCTAGAATTTTCAAAAAGATTTTCCAAACATTGCTGAGACAAAATAAAAAGCATCTAAGTAAATGGAGAGATGGACTGTGATCATGGATTGGATGACTCGGTATTGTCATCATTTCTCCCCAAGTTGATCTCTAGAGTAAATATCATCCTAGTCAAAATCCCAGTGGGCTTTTTTTTTTCCTTTAAAGAAATTGACAAGCCAATTAAAAAAAATTATTTGGATATCCAAAGGACCTAGAATAACAAAACAGGTTTGTTTTTGTTTTCAGTGGTCAGCAAAGCAAGGTTTATTGAGTGAGAGTACAAAGCTCCCAAAGAGAGGGGACTCGAGACGGTTGCCCCAAAACAGTTCTGAAAAAAAAAAGAACAAAGTTAGAGCACTTACATTTCATGATTTCAAGGCTTATTATAAAGCTATACTAATGAAGACAATGTGATATTGGCATATAGATAGACATATAGATCAATAGAAGAGAAGAGAGAATCCAGAAATAGACCAACATGTGTGGTCAGTTATTTGTTAGCAAAGGTGCCAAGGTAATTAAATGGGGAAAGGATAATCCCTTCAGTTTGGATATCCATATGCAAAAAATGAACCTCTACTCTTACCTCACACTGTATCCAAAAATTAACTCAAAATAGATCATAGATAAATAAATGTAACTTCTACAAAATACAATCTTAGGTTGAATGTTAGTGATCTTGAGTTTGGCAAAGATTTCTTAAGTGTATCACAAAAAACACAAACTATAAAAGAAAAAAATCAAAATCAGTAAATTAGATTTTATCAAAATTAAAATTTTCTATTTGTATTCTCATGTTTATAGCAGCATTAGTCACAATAGCCAAAAGATGGAAGCAACCTGAGTATCCACTGATAGATGAATAAACAAAATGTGGTATATACACCCAGTGGAATATTCATCCTTAAAAAGGAAGGAAAATCTGACCTATGCTACAACATGGATGAACCTTGAAGACATTATACTAAGTGAAATAAGCCAGTCACAAAAGGACAAATACTGTATGATTCCACTTACGTATCTAGACTAGGTGTAGGTACCTAGAATAGTCAAATTCATGGACAGAAAGTAGAATGATGGCTGCCGAGGGATGGGGGAAAGGGGAATGAGTTCTCATTTAATGGGTATGGAGTTTCAGTTTGGGAAGATTAAAAAAGTTTTGGAGATGGATGATGGTGATGTTTGCCCAACAGTGTGAATGTACTTAATGCCACTGAATTGTATATTTAAGAATAGTTAAAATGATAACTTTTATGTTATGTGTATTTTACCACAATAAATAAAAAATAAAATTTTCTACTTTTCAAAAGACACTGTTATGAAAATGAAAAGACAACCCACAGACTGGGAGAAGATATTTACAGGACACATATTGACACGTGACTTGTATCTAGAATATATTAAAAACTCTTACAACTTAAGAAAACAGGCAACGCAATTAAAAAATGGGCAAAAGATTCAGACAAAGTGGAATGGCAGATAAGCACCTACAAAGATGCTCAGTATTATTAGTCATCATGCAAATTGCAAATTAAAACCACAGTGAGATACCACGAAAATGACTAGAATTAAAAAGACTGACTATACCACGTGTTGGTGAGGGTTTGGAAGAACCGGAACTCTCATACACTGCTGATACAATAATGTGAGACAGTACAGGTACCTTAGAATGACCGTTTCTTTAAAAGTTAAGCATACACCTGCCATACCACCCAGTTATTCTACTCCCTAGTTATTTTCCCAAGAATTGAAAGCATATGTTCATACCACACAAATGTTCACAGCGGCTTTATTTGTAATAACCAAATCCTAAAAGATATCTATCACCGGTATATAAAGATATTGTGGGGGAGAGGGATTGTGTGTACATATACATCTACAGTGGAATAATATTCAGCAATAGGAAGAATGAACTATTGATAGATACATGTAACAACATGGATAGATCACAAAACAATTACACTAAATGAAAGAAATCATACCCAAAAGAAGTATAGATTCTTTGGCTCCATTTATACAAACTTCTAGAAAATGCACTGTGACCAGGAGTGACAGAAATCAAATCAGTTACCTGTTATCTAGGCACTGAGGTTATGTCAGCTAAGAAAAATGAAACAGAGCCTGAGCAGTTGGCCATAAGGAGGTAGTTCCATGACTAACGCATACTGGACTGATTATACTTTGTTTTCTCCTGACATCAGTCTCTTCACTACTCATCCCTAATTCTAAACATCTTAAGCATAAAACTAATCATTTCTTTGTGTTTACAACCATGTTCCAGTATCAGCTTCAGATGATAGAATAGGAAGTGATTATAATAATTGGAACAAAAGTTAACTCAGCAGCATTAGAAAGTTTAGAAATTGAAAAACTCAAATGTTCATCAATAGAAGAATGGATAAATTGTGGTAAATATCTATAGTAGATTTCCATAAAACAGTGAAAATAAATGAATTAGAGTTGTATTTATCAACATAGATGAATCTCAAAAGTGTAACATGAAATGAAAAAAGCAAGTTGCAAAATGGGCATATAGTTTGATCAAAGATTTAAGTTTTTAAACATGCAGCAAGTTTTTAAACGTAGTATTTCTTGTTTATGGATATGCATATGTGTATGCGCATTTAAAGAATAAAAACCCGAAAGGGAATGACAGACACCAAGTGCAAGATAAATGTTACTCTGGAATGGGATTGGAATGGGTTACAGAGAAAGCTTTAGTTGGATCTCTAATGCTTTCTTTCTTAGTTGGGTTGGAAAGTATATGAGAATTTGTTAAATTATCACTTAATGAATTTCATAGTTGTAAAAACTGTTTAAAAACCAGACAGTGAAAAAATAGAGTAAATGATTAGGCACTTGGACATGGAGCAAATGATTGTATTTATTCACCTACCTCTTCATGTATTTGTTTCCCAGTTTCTCTGTGCACTACCAAGAAGGGAAGGTTATGAGTTCTTTGTAGGACAATGGACAGGTACTGAACTCCACTTCACTGCACTTATAAATATTCAGGTAGGTGGCTTGTGCTCATCCCCTAGAAGAAAGAGCCTACTCCTGTGAGGCCTACTCCTGTGTGCCCTTGCTGAGGCTTGAGGACACAGAGTATCTACTAATTCTCAGCAGTATTTGCTTCAGCATTGATGAATTGTTTTGCTTCAGCGTTGATGAATTGTTACACTTTGCATATTGGGCTAGCTTTCTAAGCCCTACTCAATACCTAGAAATTGGAAAAGACCCCAAAACATATTCTCTGACTACATTTGGTCTCTCCCATCTCTTCCCCATACCTCTATAACGTTTACTGCTTGTGTCTCACTTAACTAACATGGGTGAGTTGTGATGGTTATCTTTTTAACTCTAACATAGACTGCATGTCTTACTTGTATTTTATTAACAGTCAGCACTTTCCAAGATGCAAGATGCATAGTTTCCATTCCATAGATGTTGTTTTGTTTCCTTCCTTCCTTCCTTCCTTTTTTCTTTGTTTTATTCCCAAATATTGGATTAAGACATTCAATCCAAAGCATTTGAAGCTCTTAAAAATGAAGTCAGTATTTTAAATCAGATCATAACTGGGATTGACATTCTGTATTTGGAGGCCAAATTGCCAAAAAACAAGCCTGTGTTACAATGGCTTTGAAGGTTGGGGTAAAGGAAATGCAAAATAGAATGAGAGTTTGCTCATGATTGTATCCTAAAATTGTATTATGTTTTAAAAAAAGGGGGGATTAGAAAAAAAGAAAAGAAAAAGCAGAATGAAGGCGCAGTTTTTACCTTGATTTTTTTTTTTTTTTTTAAAAACAGCGAGAGAGGGAACACAAGCATGGGGAGTGGGAGAGGGAGAAGCAGGCTTCCCACCAAGCAGGGAGCCTGATGCGGAGCTCGATCCCAGGAACCTGGGACCATGACCTGAGCCGAAGGCAGACGCTTAACGACTGAGCCACCCAGGCGCCCAGTTTTTATCTTGATTATTGGATGAATTATAAAATAACATTTATTGCACATCCTATAATCAATATTTGATGTACTTACTATGTGCCAGGTGTTTTATATATATTATGTCATTTCGTCCTCACAAAAGTCCCATGAGATAGTTACAGATATTATTTCTGTTTATAGAGAAGAGCATGGGCTCAGAGAAGTTAGTCCCTAGTGTGGATGAGTGTGGTAATAGGTAGCAGATCTGGATTTGATTGATTCCAGTCTGTGAACTGAACCCTTATGCTGCTGTGTTAGAGACGATGCCAGGACTTAGAGACCTGTGAGACAAGGTCCCTGCCCTACTGAAGCTCATAGACGAGTATGGGAAGAAGATCCAGAAACATAATTATGATCAAAATGATCAGTATATTTGAAGTAAATGGGGGAGAACTGAGAGGCTGAACCCTAGCACTAGGTAGGTATTAATAATTAGAAGGACTCCTGCTGAAATTTAGAGATGAAACCCAGAGATCTTTTTTGAATGTATAGTTGTTTCCTCCTACATATAGGGACTTTAACTTTGAACCCAGCCTCTCTTCCTAGTCTGGACTGAGGTCTGATAACCACTGCCCTGTCCATTCTTCATAAAATTATGATGTTCCCGTTCTCCTTTCCCCCCTATCTCCCACCTAGATTATATTTTAAAAGGGCACATTACAAATCTGGCCCGTGTGCAAACTCTCCAGCTGTTTGCTACAGCTTAAAAGAGCTCAGTCTTCAGAGCCAGCCAAGGGGAGTAGATTTCAACTGTGAAATGCACTAGTCCATAAAAGTGGCAATTACACAGGCATATTGCTTTCTTTAGAACTTGATTTGGTAGTTGCTTGTGTCATTTTGTTTTTAAATATATGGCCATGATGAAGGATTCACTGCCTACTGTAAACATTTTCTGGGAAAAAAGCCAAACCTTTTTCAATTGAAGACACAAATAACACTGTGCAAACTGTCAGTTTCACTGCGCCTTGGCAAGCCTGACCATCCCCCCACCTACCAGTCCTCTGACTCACTAGCCACTCAAGGGGCTGTTAGGAGCCCGAATTTCCTCTAGACTCTATTGCTCTGAAATTGCAGCTTTGTGTGGTGGTACCTTATTGAGCCTTGATAAGTGTTTCTCCTTACAGACCCGAGGGGATGCTGCAGCCAGCCAGCTGGTTTTATATCACTACCCTGAACTTAAGGAAGAAAAGGGCATAGTGCTGATGACAGCAGAAATGGATCCCACATTTCTGGTAAGAATTAATTTTTACCTCCTGAGAGGTAAGATTCTAGAGACCTACAGGTACTTTTTTCTTAAAGTTGACAATAATTTTGTCTTGCACAAGCTCTTCCAAGTTGAAGTTAGTACAATCACTAACTCAATCACTTATTCACAATTTTGAAGTCCAAAGCTCTGAAAACAAAGTTTTGTCATAATACATTTGGTCACAAGACCTTATCTGACTTGAACTTACTTGGTAGCTAAATCTTCATTTAAACTTAAAAAAGGCCACTTGTAGTCCTTATTAATCCCACTTGGTATGGAATATTCATGCATTTTACTAAGGAAATATTAATGTATTTGATCATGGGGAGTTACATTATGTACCTGTTGCCTTTCTAGAATATAGTAATTCTGACTCCAAAACACATCTGGCCCTAGGGGTTTCAAGTAAGAGACTGTGGACAAACAAATGGTTTCTTAAGGGTCAGGACATGTTCAAAGTCTGGAATAGTTCTCAATCTTTTCTCTTCCCCCACACTGCTCACATGTATTACATTCAGCGTACATAATGATTTCCCTTCCTCCTTTTCCCATTCCTTAGATAGAGCATTGACCATATGTCCATAGATAATGATGCCCACTGTGTTTGTTTTCTCTGTATATCCAGGGTCAGGAGCAGTTTTATGGTTATTATAAAGCCGGTTTGTCTAGTCCTTGCTCATTTCTGCCTCATTTATCTGGCAGGATTTAAGTTCAGGATGTCAGGATAGTGAACACTGTAGTGCTTCTTCCCCCTTAATTTCTTCATTACAATACCCACTTATTTTTGCTCTCTCTCTTAGCAGCTACTTACAGAGAAGGAAAAAGTGATGACACTCAGCTAGTATCTCACAATAGCAGTAAGCCCCAAGTCTGGAATTGGAACTCTTCTTTCCACCATCACACTCAAATGGAAGTCACCCAAAATCCTATCCAAAAGAATGGAGTTGCCATTTGTTTTAAATATGTTATTTATTTGTATGAGAGAGAGAGAGCATAAGCAGGGGAGAGGCAGAGGCAGAGGGAGAAGCAAGACCCCCCCAGCTGAGCAGGAAGCCCGATGTGGGGCTTGATCCCAGGACCCGGAGACCATGACCTGAGCCAAAGCCAGATGCTCAACCGACTGAGCCACTCAGGCTCCCCTGGAGTTGCCATTAATTGAGCTAGACAAGATTGCGGGAGGAACAGATTTGGGAGGAAGATCAGGAGCTCAATTTTGGACATGTTAAATCTGAGTTAGCTATTAGATACCCAAGTAGTAGGCAGTTAGATGTATGAGCCTGGAGGTCAGGGGAGAGGTCCAGGCTGGAGATACAAATATTGAGAGTTGTCAGCATGCAGATTATTATTTAAAACCATGAGACAATGAAATCACTAAGGAAGCAAATAAAGATAAAAAGAAAAGAGGTCTAAGAACTGAGCCTGGAGACATGAGGAAGCATCACCAAAGAAGATGAAAAAGGAATAGTTAGTGAGATATGAGGAAAACTAAGATGGGAAAGTGCCCTGAAAGCTAAGATAAAATGTTTCAAGGAATTGGGAGTGCTCAACTGGCCAAGTCTCACTTGCTGGTAAGGCAAATGAGATGAAGACTGAGAATTTACTAGATGTTACAACATGGAAGTCATAGCGAGATTTTTAAGGACAGTTTCAGAGGAGTGGTAGGACAGAAGCATCATTGGAGTACATTTAAAAGAGGCTGGGAAGAAAAATTGTAAGGAGTAAGCATAAACAAGTCTTCCAAGGATGTTTCTGTGAAGGGAAGGAGAGAATGGGGCACTAGCTGGAGAGGGAGAAGTGGAGACAAGAATGTGTTTTGTTTTGTTTTAAATATGAGAGAAATAACATTATATTTGTATACAGATGGAAAGATTCAGTAGAGAGGGAAATAGTGATAATGCAGGAGAAAGAGGAGAGAATTTTTAAAGTATTTTTGAGTGGTTAAGTCTGGAAATGAGGGATTGATCTTTGCCAGAAATGTAATAATAGGAGAGAAGCCAAAATATAAGGACACAAATACAGTTAAATGGAGAGAGGTGGTGGTATCTTGTAGAAATTCTCTCCAGATTGCTTAGTGAAAAGACTAAGACTTTATCTCAGTGAAAGGTCATCAGATGAGAGTGAAGATGGAAGAATAGGTGTTGGATAATTGAGTGGAAAAGAAAGAGAAAGTGTGAAATGATTTTCTAGGACAGAGTCAGCCAACCATGGCCTGTGGGCCAAATCCAATCCATTATCTGTTTTTAGAAGGCCCATGAGTTAAAAATGTGTTCTACATCCTTAAATGGTTGGAGGGGGGAGGGACGGAACTAAAGAAGAATATTATTTCATGGCCTGTGAAAAGTGTTTGAAATTCAAATTTCAGTGTCTGTAAATAAAGTTTTATTGGAACACGGCCATGCTTATTATTTACATATTATCTGTGGCTGCTTTAGGTCCACACCAGAGTTAAGTAGTTGCAACAGAGACTGTAGGGCCAGCAGAACCTAAAATATTAACTGTCTGTCCCTTTACAGAAAGTGTCGGCGTGTGGTCTAGGAAACTGGAAGAGAGAATGGCTGTGTGGGTACAGGCACAGAGAGAGGGCTGAGATTTGGGTTTAACTGGAGTTATGGTTCAGCCAAGTGATCTAATGAAGTAAGCAGGGACCAGAAAGTTAAAGGTGAGTGCAAAAGAATGATGATAATTACTGACCATGGAATGCAAGCTGGATAAAGAGGGAAGTGAAAACATAAGGAAGGTTAGAGACTGTAAGAACTGTGAGTCCTGGTGGAGTTCAAGGATTTTTGAAGTTGGGAGATAGGAAATATATGGGGTGCCTGGGTAGCTCAGTTGGTTAAGTGTCTGACTCTTGATCTCAAGGTCATGATCTCAGGGTCGTGAATTCAAGCCCCTATCATTAACTAATTAATTAATTAGGAAATAGTAATAGACCGAGCGTGGCTGTTTGAAATTGAGATTTGGAGGGGATATAATTACCAATAATGACAAGGTTTAAGATTGGCCCACAAGAAGGCCCACAGTAAAGCCCAGCATCTAACCATATTGAAAGTGGACTCTGGAGGTGACAGGAGGTCCTTCTCTGCTCTGGCATTTTTACCGCCTCACTCTGGTGGTCTCAAACTGCTACACACGCCTCATCTACGTGAAAATTTGCTTCCTGGCCTTATAATACCAAACAACATAGATTTGCCTTGTAGAAATCAATTTGGCTCTGAGCTTCTTATGTAGTACAGAACTAGAGATGTTAGAATTTATTGTAGGGGTACACGATTCAGAGATGGGAAACGTAGAAATGTAATATATGATCCCTTGCTATTCATGCATGAATTTGCACTTTGGCATAGTACTTCCAAATACAGTAAAGCAAATGAATAGAAATATACAGAAACTAGAGGTTTCTTCTGAACTAATAGCCTTAATGCTGAAATTTAGGAGAATATTTGAAAACCTCATTTGGTTCCACCTCTGTGTCAGTAGATGCTTTCATCGGAATGCAGCCAGTGCTCGGATGGAGTGCTAGGATGCTCATGCAGGGGATGTTCCCTGGCCCAGAAAGAGGAAGAAGAGAGGTCCTAGACATGACACCTGGGCTGAATCTCAAAGATGAGCAGGAGTTTAGCCAGATAAAGAAAGGGGGGAGGGGAAGAGGAATGTTCCAAATAGAGGGAATAGCATAAGTACATGTTAGGACACATAAAATGACTTGAGGTATTATAAACAGTTTGGTATCATTAATATATTAAAAAGGTTTGGTGGGTTGTGTTTAGAGGTTTGGCTTTATCCTGAGGACATGAAAGTGTCATGAAAGGGTTTTGAACAGGGAGTAACATGTAAAGTGTTAGACTTCAATGCTATTAATCTCAATTATTTGCTTCCTAAATATTTTTTAGTTCTGTCCCAATCAGTGTGATCATTTAAAAGACAGTTGCAGTAGTGTGAGCAAGAGATAGTGAAGACGTGAAGTAGAATAGTGAGGATGGTGGAGAGAGAATGACCCCAGAAATATATAGGGAGTAAAATGGGCAGGACTTGGTAGGGTGATAGTATCTATGAAGATTGAAAGAAAGGGAGGAATCAGGTTTGTTAGTATACCTTCTTATTGAGCAACATAGGAATTAATATGTTTATCTTCTCAGGTCCTCGAAAAGTAGGAGACTACTACTGCTTCATGGTGAGAACTAAGGCAGTGGGGAGAGGGCTTTCCATAACCCTCCATGAGAGATAAATACACATGTCTCCTTACCCACCATACTAGTGGTCTTAAACTAGTGGTCAGAAACCTTTATCAAAACAAAATCTTATTTTTTTTAAGATTTATTTATTTATTTGAGAGAGAACAAGAAAGCCGGGGGGTGGGGGGGGTGGGGGGGGTGGCGCAGAGGGAGAGGGAAAGAGTCTACTGACGCGGGGCTTGAGATCATGACCTGAGCCAAAATCAAGAGTCAGACATTTAACCAACTGAGCCACCCAGGCGCCCCCAGACAAGATCTTATTATGTGAAACCTCTGATACAACGGCTAAAACAGAGGTGAAGGGACCTGAGGCACCTCCACAGAGCCTCTAGAACTCTGCAGTGTGAACAGCACTGTTCTAGAATGAATACAGCCGGAACTACCCCTACCTCCACTATCCTGAGCCTCAAGTTAAAGTCAGTTATCAGAGGTCCCTACAGTTCATGGGCCCAGAAAGTAGTGGTATCTACCTCCAAGAATGGCAGTGTGTTTGCTTTAGAAACAGTTTACTCTTGAGGCATGTTTGAGTATAGGAAAGGTAAAATTGATGAATTAGGGTTATCAACCTTGATCAGTCTTAATTATCTTGCCCCACCAGGAACAGTATCAGGATGAAGTAGAGGGAGTACCAGTCTAGAAGTCCAGAGGTTTGCCACTTGCTAGCCATATGACCTTGGGCCCATCCCTGAACCTCATCTCCTTTGGTTTCCTGGCCTAGTAAATGAAAACTGGGTGATCTCTGAGGCCCCTTCTAGCTCTGAAATTCTATTAATTTGAAATAGCCAGCGTTTTGGAAAAAGGCTTTTGATTGAAAATCCAGTCTCAGAGATTAGTCCCTGCCTATGAGAAATGACCTGAAAGCCCTATGGGAGGGAGTGGAGCTAAAGGAGCCTATGGTATTTATAAATCCATTTTCATCATTCTGTAGCTAGACATAGCACACTTTTGATAGTTTTAGTGGGAATTTTCCAGTATTTTGGGGGGTTGGGTTTGGCCATACGAACACCGTGATGATGAATAAGTGCCTCTGGCCAGCTAGGATGAGTGAGCTGTATAGGAAGCAAAAGTAATAGTAGTTGGAGGACATTGCTTTATAAGGTTTTGAGAGTAGAGTATAGCTGTGTCCTGACCCCACCTCTGTTACACAGTGTGCACCATTTCTCTGCCACTGAGCTTTATAAAGAAAGAAGGTGGACCCTCTGCTTCCCTGGAGCTTTGCTGGCAGAGTAGTTAGAGGGAGCTGCATAGCAGATTACTGCTAAACTTAGTGGCTTAAAACACACACACACACACCATTTATTACCTCCCAGTTTCTATGGGTCAGGAATTCAGGAGCAGCATAGCTGGGTGGCTCTGGCATAGTCTCTCATGAAGTTGCTGCCAAGATGTTGGCTCAGGCCATAGTCATCTGAAGAAGGTTGATTGGGCTCAAGGATCTACTTCCAAGCCCACTCACATGGCTGTCAGCAAGAAGCCTCATTTCCTTGCCACATAAGCTTCTTCGTCGGGCTACTTGAATGTCCTCATGACTTTGGCAGCTGACTTTCCCCAGAGCAAGTAATTCAAGAGAGAGAGCAGGACACAAGCTGCGGTGTCTACTGTGACTTCGTAGCAGAGGGCATTCTTGCATCGTTTCACCATGGTCCATTTGGAGAAGGAAGTCAGCAAGTACAGCCTACCCTCAGGAAAGGGAAACTAGGCTCCCTCAAAGAGAGAAGGGTCATAGCATTGGGGGACCTACTATAGAACGAACTACACAGCTGGCTTTGGCACTACTCTTCTGACTGAGGTGGTATCAGGAACAGGTTTTACTCAAGAGTATGTCTCGCTAGTTAAGAACTCAGTAGTGACTCGCAAACTGGTTCTAGAAGCTGAGTAACTACTGTTCTTCCCCAACCCCCTTGAAGATATACTTAATAGTTATTAAGGAACTGAATGAAGAGGGACATTTCAAACATATGTGTTACTTTATTCAGCAAATATTGGCTGGATATGACCATGTGTAGGGATGTAAAGCAAACATATACTTTGAGGAATTCATACGAGGGAAGACGGACAAAAAAGCAAAAGAGAAAAGGACAGATACAATGTAGTATGACACATACTATGGTAGAGGTCAGCATGGGGTAATTTGGGTGCATAGACAAGGGGCACCTTACCAAGACTTGGATGTCAGGGAGTCAGAGAAGCTTTCTGAAAACAGTGACTCCTGGGTAAGGCCCCTCCACTTGCCACAGAGTTTTATGGCCCTGTGCAGGGAATGACCTCACTGTTCTTTTTACCTTACAGAATGTTGCTGAGGCACAGTGCATTGCCAACCAAGTTCAGCTCTTCTATGCCACTGACCGGAAGGAGACCTACGGGTTAGTGGAGACCTTTAACTTCAGACCAAATGAGTTCAAATATATGTCTGTCATCGCTGAATTGGAGCAAAGTGGACTTGGAGCAGAACTGAAATGTGCCCAGAACCAGGATAAGACTTAAGAGCTGTGAGGGTTGGCTTAGAGCCTGCTTAGCTCTGGGGTAGTTTTCTACAGCCCACCTGCCCCTTGAACTTTTGGGAGCTTAGGAGCTATAAGGAGCAGTCTCTAATGGGTTGTCCTGTGTGCTTATTGCAAGAAGTAATCGTGGAGGTGAGCCCTATTACTTGACATTCAGGAACAGAGGTACCCAAACATTCTGATAATTATCTCCCAGCATACTTAAGCTTTCCTTTTAAAGTGTTTGAGGTCATAACCAGAGAGAGCTAAGGATCCACAGGATGGCGACTTGACTTTACGCAGTATAATAGTGCTATGTATCTCCTTTTGACCACACAGCTCCCAGATGATTAGTTCTTCATATTTATAAACTTGTGACAGGACAGTAAGCTTGAAGACCTGTAGTTAGATGTGGGCTTTGCATACTCTTCCTATGTGCCCCTTGGCTGGCCAAAGGTATAGCGCAAATATCCTGTTGAGACTCTAGAACGACCAGATATTGGCATCAGGATTCAGACTTCATCTAGATGTCCCCAGAGTTGCCTCTAGTGTAGCTGGTTTGCAGGGTCAGTAGACTTGGGGTTCAGTGAAGCACACAAGTACGGTGCCGGCATACTTTTAAACCACGGTTTGTTACACCTGCCCCCTAACTCTGCCTGTTAGAAGCTGTGTATTTGGAGAGGGTGAATCAGTGCAGTGTAAGTAAATCACCACTTTCGTAAGGAGAGGGTCCATCCTGATTTGCATGTTTTGTTTTATTTCGTTTTTTTTTTAACAACTCTAAGCCATGCCAGTACTATATGAAAAAGTAGGTGGAAGCAAATGTTCCCGAACTGGGTATGGGGGAAATGTAGCAATAAAATAAAGTCTGGCTTACAGTCTTTTTACACTGAGCAGTGAAATCTAACCTGTGTGCTGCCCTTGGTGTCAGGGCAAATCTCATCTTTGGACTCAGCATTTGCTTGAAACGCCAAAAATAAGAAAGGCGTTCTCCGGCCCTGGAAGCTCACATTTGGTTTGTAGTGTCACTGCTCTGGCTCCAAGCTCAGTGCTAGAAGAGGGCAGTGGTTATATGCCAGCCTTCTGAATCTGAGGTCCCAGGGTGCCCGGTAGTGTTGGGGACCCCCTTTACTATGCCTTTCCTTTTCTTGATCTGGTGTGCTCCGCTTTGCTACCCCTGCCTGAGGCCTGCTCGTGTGACACTGAGTTGGTAAGTGGGAAGGTAACCGGTAGTTGCAGTTGGTGTGTTTGTGTATTTTCTTTATTACGGAAGTTTGTTTATAGGTTGGACCTGTCCCCAAGCTCTTTAGATGGGATTGGACTTCGTGTTATTTTCTGGGCTGTGTCTGTTTTGTCGTACTTCTGAGTCTGTGTGTAGAAAGAGATAGTGTTTGTTAAACCTGGAATTGCTGCTAGCCTTTCACAGTTTCTCTAAAGGTTGAGCTGCTTCCTAATGCAAATTCTGGACCTGCCTCTGGTTCTGACAGTTCCTTTTTTGAGAAACTTGAGTCTGGATGTTTTGAGTCCCAGGAATCTTTGACATCAGGTGGAGTTGCCTCCGTGGGTATCCGGTTATGTTTGCTTTTCCCTTCAGATGGACCCAGTTCTTGGCCATTGTACATTTTCATAACGCCTCCACCAGAGGGTGAAAAGATGATGGGAGAAGAAATAAGAATTGGCTGCTCGTTCCTCCCAGCTTTGCCCTAAATCCCCACTTGCCGGAAGGGGATGTATACATGGACAGTTACGTTGGACACGATCAAAATGCCATCTGGCTATTCTTTATATTTCCCTGGTACGATCTGGCAAAGAACCAAAAGAAAATTTTAAGTCAGTAAATTTGTACCCAGGTGCAACATGGTGTTATAGAAAGTGGACAAGCTTTAGAGTTAAATGAATCTGGGTTCAGATGTCAGTGTTGGGATTCATTAGCTCTATGCTGTTGAACAAATTGCTTAAACCCTCTGATTCTATTTCTCTGTAAAATGTGGATGATGATAATAATAATAATATCTACCTCATAGGATTATTGTGAGAATTAAATAGGCTTATACATAGACTATGGTAGAGCTTAATAAATGTCAACACCCTTCCTCTTTTCTAATTCCCCTCTTCTCTTTAAAGACCAACACAAATTACCATTTCAGACATGCAGATCATTCTTCATTGCGGTATAAAAAATAAACCTGATCTCAGAAGTTTCTCAAACCTTAAGTTGCAATAGAATTACCTAGAGCACTTTAAAATGCAGATTCTCGGGCGCCTGGGTGGCTCAGATGGTTAAGCGTCTGCCTTCAGCTCAGGTCATGATCCCAGGGTCCTGGGATCGAGTCCCACATCGGGCTCCCTGCTCTGCGGGGAGCCTGCTTCTCCCTCTGCCTCTGCCTCTCTCTCTCTGTCTCTCATGAATAAATAAATAAAATCTTAAAAAAAAAAAAAGTAACTCACAGTTTCAATAATTCAAAAAATAAATAAATAAATAAAATAAAATGCAGATTCTCAGGTCCCCCAACCCTGCTGGGTCATAATCTTCGCAGGAAGTGCTGGGAGTCTGCGTTCAATATGTGCTCCAAATGATTTGCGCCCAAGTGTAACTGGTCATTAACCAGTTACACTGTGAGAACCACTGCCTTATCTGTTCTTCACCAAAAACACCCCTTAGCGAGATCTTTCTTTCCTGTGGACATTAAACTTAGGATTGGTTCCTTTGCTCTTGCCCCGCGTAGTGGTCTCCCTTTGCATACTTTACAGTGTAAGTATGTATGTGTGTATCTTTTTTCCCCACTAGACTGTGCGCTCCTTGAGGGCCAGGGTTTATTTCTATTCCCAGGGCCAAGGACATGGCCTGGAACATAGAAGATACTCAGTTGTTTGTTGAATAAATAAATGACATGGATTTTAGCCAAAACATTATCTTGTTATGTATATGTACCTATAATCAAATACTCTGAATTAAGAGACTCTCTCAACATGCATAGATTGGAACTTACTAAGTAGTAATATTTGCAAGCCAAGATGCCAAGCTTATACACCGTCTCTGTATCTCACCAATCCTCTGGGATGACCTTGGTGGGCTGTGGGCTCCGGGCAATTCAGCAGTCCCTCACAGAGCCCTTACTCCAACCGCCATGTTAGGTGTGCCGACACAGGAAGATGAGGAGGATGATCCCTGCTCTCCAGGTCTTTTCTGGCCACTGTCCATGTCTTTCTTCCCTCGGGCCTCACATCTAGCACCTCGTCGGAGTTTGCCTTGTCCTGTTCTCAGGATGTTTATGCTGCTACTTCTTTCCTCAAACAGTTTGGAAGTAGGAACTACGTGTTCTGGGTTTCTTTGCAGTCTCCACAATACCTATGTCTTGTTCAGTCTTGGAGAAGAGGTATAAACGCCCACCCCAGTCATTTGATTTAGCATTGAGTCAGCAGTCATTAATATTTATTGAGCACCTATTCTGTGCCAAGCATAGTTACAGGAAACTGGGGAATACAGCAACAAATAGGACAAATAAGGCCCCTGTTTTCATGGAGTTTATATCCTTGCGGAGAAGACAAATGAATAAACCAATAAGATTATTTCAAATACTGGTAGTGCTATGAAAATTTCCAAAAAAAAATAGTGTGCTAGAATGTGGAGTGGAAACAATAACCTAGTGGTCAGGAGAGCCATCTCTGCAGAGGAGAGAGCTGATACGTGAGTTGAGGGAAAGTAGCAGGTTGAGAGAACGGCAAGTGGTGAGGCCTTTGCAGCAGGGCCGGGCTAAGCATGAGTGTTTCTGGGCAGATTTCAGGGTTCATTCCTTGCCCTCAAGGAGCTCACAGTTGAGCAAGCAAGACACTGACATGAATAATCAAAATATAAGGCAAATGGCCCAATGCTATCCCAGAAAAGGGGCAAGGAGGGCTCGAGAGCGCTACTGGGTACCGTGGGGATGCACATCTTCCCCGACCATGGCCCCCACCACGAAGTGCTTATGGTTTTAAAAGAGAATAACAGGTAGACGATATCACAGTCTCAAAGAATATGTGCTCCATGCAGAGAGGTCCGGTGAGCTCAGAGCTGGCCTCACAATTTATACACCTTAACGGTAACCACTAGCATGGGTTACTGGAAGCTCACTATGTGCCAGGCGCTGAGCAAGCCCTTTGTATGTATCAGCTCTGCCCTTCTCACAAGCCTGTGAGGTCAGCAGGAACCTGCTGGTTGGTGAGACGCGTGGCTGCTCTCTGTGCACCAGCCCTGTCCTTCCCTACTTCCAGCTCAGAGGAGACGGCAGCCTCCCAGTTACCCCTAACCCTAGCTCCAGCAGCCAGCCCAGGCCCTGAGAAGTCATGGGTGGCTCTGGAATCAGCCCTTGCTCTGAGACACAGGTATGCCACTTTTCCTGCCGTCAGCTAAAGAACAAAATGCATGTGTTGACATTTCTGATTTCTCCAAACCCTATTTCAAAAGGCATTGTGTCCCAACTAAGGAGAACTTGTTTTGTGCTGCCCGGAGCACTTTGGTCTTGGCAGTTCTCCTAATGTGGCAGGTTGGTGGCAGCATTTCTTCCCTGTTCTGCTGAAGGAGAGACTTGGTGTACGAAAAGGGAAGAGATGACTGAAAGGTCACTGCCTGCATCAGGAGCCAAGCCAGGAATAGAAGGCGACTGTCCACGCTCCAGACTTAATGGTGTCATTTGTAACATCCAGTGAGCAGACTCATCTCTCACTTTCATAGGACCACCTCTGAGCTCTAAGGACCTCAGGAGCTGAAAGGGCTGCAAGAAAAATTGGTTCAAACCATTAGGAATCTTCCCAGGCTCCCCCAAGCTTTCAGAACCAAGTCCCTTTCGATCAGCTCACAGGACACAGGAACTTCAGGATCTGGTCAGCTTCTCCAGGCCCCTCTCGGGCCAGGCCCCCACCCACTCCCTTAGCTCCAGTCATTCTGGATGAGCAGCAGTTCCCAGAATAACCTGTGAGCTTCTCACCTCTGTGCTGGTCTTTTGGGATATGTCTGCCTGCCTCAAATGCCATTCCCCCTTCATCAGGTTAATACTTACATGCCTTTCAAAGCTCCACGGAAGCATCTGGAGCCTTGCCTGACATCTGCCCGCCTCCCTGATGCCCATCACGTGCTCCTCTGTGCTTCCCCAGCATTTTGTGCCCCACCTGTACAAGGCTGTCGCTCCCTTAGACCGGACACTTTCTGGAGACAGGGATCATATCTTACTGGACATTATCTTCCCAGGGTCCAGCATGAAGCCTACACAGAGAGAGAAGATACCCAGCGAATGTGGAATAAATTCCTCTTTGATGACCGCTCAACTCAGACATCCCTTGCACAATGAGATCCAGCCC